TTGGTACAAAGTCTTTGGTCCTCATATTTCTCAACTTTATGCTCGTCGACGGATTCAACAGCGCTGGCTGACCAGCCTCAATCACTATTTCTTCGAGCCCAATGCCCTGTCCATCAAGCTTGGTCTTGGAAATCATTGCATTGAGCTCGAACATTCTGTTGTCCCTATCATCAACTATCTGGAAGACCAAATCGGCTGGGAACCCCTTATTGCTCATGAACAAGCCATCACCGGATATCTCCTTCGCTATCTGAAAGATAACCCAGATAATTACACTGTGTACGGATCACAGTCATCAGATCCCAACGATCGCGTTTCTCTGGTTAGCTTTTCTGTAAACGGACTTTCGTCTGATCAGGTGGCACAAGAGATTCACGAAACATCAGCTTGTCGGTTGATAAGCGGAGACTGTTGGTCTCCCCGTACAGTCTATGATGTTCTAGGACGCGGAGATGATGGCATCATACGGGCAAGCCTGGTGCATTACAACACCATAGATGAGATGAGGACCTTTACAGAAGTTTTGGATCGCGCTGTGCGTCGCTTGAGACATGGGGACGCTGGGTCAGTAGCCATGCACGCTGAAGCTCTCTAAACAGTGAATCGTGTTGTTATTAGCTACTGGCGCGTATCTAGGGTTAAGCTCTCTAGACACATTTAATGATGAGCAATATTTCAACTATCAAGCTTATGAAAATCACATAATAATTCTTTTATTTTATTAGCAATACCTAAAATGTTTTATTTATTTCTGAAACTCTAAACGGGTTCCTTAATATGTATCTTTTATGACGAACTCTTATTTAAGGAATTTAAAGATTGCCACCTTATTGGCATCTTTATCAGCTGTAACTTGAACCTTTGCCGCCGCGTTGATTGTGAAGAGCCGCGATCCTCAACAAGCTCCCGCGGAAATTGCTGTCACATGAGACCCTTGTTGATTCATGGGACGACATTGGAAATTATCCTTGCTCCCTTTCCACGTTGACATATCGAGGTATGCTTGACACAGCATTGTCTTTGCAGCAATAAATACGCATCCTAATCTTCAATGTTCTGTTAAAATTAACAGGGCTACTTCTCTTCTTGGGCTGCTGTACTGAACCTACCTATCTTATCGTGCGGCAATGTCTCCTTCTCAGATCGAAACAACTTCATTCGATGGCAATGGAAAAGCTACTAACGACACTAAACTCATCAAAGAGCCTCTCAAACTAAGTGGTTTATTGGACAAGTACGAGTCTTTCAGCGTCACTCCAGTCATAGGAACGGAATTTACGGATGCGAATGTCGCAGAGTGGTTAAAAGCTGACAACAGTGATGACCTAATCCGCGAACTGGCCATCACCGGTAAGAAATCACCCATTGACTCTCACAGCACACAATTAATGATGAAGCAGTATCTCAACGTGGTGTCGTCTTCTTTCGCGCCCAGAAAGACCTCACCAATGAACTTCAGATGGAACTTGCTGATCGCTTGGGGAGACTCACTGGCAAGCCAGAGTCTTCAACACTCCATGTTCATCCCTTACAAAACTTCAATCCTGACGAAGAGAAACACATCAACACCATCACGACTGACCAAGCTGCCAACCCGGCTGAAGACCTTTGGAAAAACAGACCCGCCGATATTAGAAACAGTTGGCATACTGATGCTGGTTATGAACCAAATCCTCCAGACTACTCAATCTTGAAGGTGGTTAAGATGCCTCCTACGGGTGGAGGTAATTCTATCTCATCCCTTAGCAAAACACAAATCCTAACAGCGTCTAGACACGATGTGGGCTTCATCATGTGAAATCTACGACAAGATCTCCCCCAATTATCGCAAGTTTCTTGAAGGTTTAACAGCCAGCTTTTCGCAGAGAAGACTGCCACGCGTAGCTAAGGAGAAAGGATTCGAACTATACACCCAGTCACGAGGATCTCCAAACAACGTGGGTGATTCTCTCACAACAACCCATCCAGTTGTTCGTACCAACCCCGTCACGGGCTGGAAAAGTCTCTTTGCAGTTGGCAATCACTGCGAGAGTATCAATGACCTTACACCTGATGAAAGTAAACGCCTTCTAGATTGGTTTCTGCAGATGATTGTTGAGGAGCATGATTGTCAGCTGAGGCATCGCTGGCAGAATCCTTATGATCTTGGTGAGTGTGTATCTCCAAGTTTTGCCAGTCATCTAATTGAATCATAGCTATTTGGGACAATCGTACGGTTTATCACACTGCCATCTTTGACTACGCTGGGCTTGGCCCACGTACAGGTCATCGTGCTGTTGGAATTGGAGAGAAGCCATACTTTGATGCCAAAAGCAAGACTCGCCGCGAAGCATTGGCTATGGAAGAATATTAAGCTCTGTTGCGACATGGAGAATATATATTACTGTGTGAAGCTGCGGTGATATGTGTTCTGACAAGCGAGGGGATTGGGTTATTATTATCACCTGAGAGATGCAGAGTCCAGAATAAGCAATAAATCAAATTCATAAAGTGTTAAAACCACATTAAGAAGTAAATTCTAAATAAAGTAGTGACTTCAATCGCATCGAGATCCTTTCTATTATAGACTATTATAATTATAATAAGTAGGTACTTAGAAAGCTCTTAAAAAAACACATAGCAGCGAGGTTATTAAGGCTAGATTAATAGATCTTTGTATCTTGAAATTGAAATCTCTCTTATTTAGCCTATTAAGTTCTGTGTATTGTTTGAAATGCTAGTCGATGGCGGCATTGAATGATAGTTTAGGTCACTATTAGGAATGAAAATTCTAATGCAGCTAACCGTCAAGGACTGGAAGCTCAATAGCGTCCCTAGCTCAGCTATGGTACAGCAACCAATGCATTTTCTTCGATTTCCAACATGACGGGAAATTATCCAAAGCCCGGAGGCACTGGAGGCACCTCTTTCAGATCATATAAGTATATTTGACGTAGATCCCGTTGTTCGTTTTTCCTTCTCTTACCAAGTATCTTCACTCAACCAGGCATCATATAAGGCCCAGTAATTCATTTATCACACGACGGTTACATACCATGGGAAGCATAGAAGAACCTCATGCTACTGGTCCTCAGGACGTATTCCTATTTGCTCTCAACCGTACCTGTTCTCATGTCCTATGCCGTTTGCTGTCGGGGCAACCAGGATGGACTCAATCAAATTATCACTTCAAACGTGCTTTTGACTTTGCAAGAGAATCTTTCAACTGGGGACCAATAAATTCGGTATCCGATCAGCAACGTCGAGATTTTGAAAGTCTCCTCCAAGAAGGGTTTGATGAAATTCAAGAGGAGCTTAAGGTCGCCAAAACTCATGTTCGTTACTTCCTGTTTATTATCCTGTTTTGAGCTTATTTCTAATGATGTTAGAATATGTCTATGTTCCTCAAAGAACATACCTTCTACGTCTGGGAGCCATGTAAGCTCTCGGAGCATATGTGGGGTACATATCCAAGACCCTCTTTTACAGTTCATCGACAGGGTTCTTCTCACTCAGCAGAGGACGCGAAAACAAACCCAACCATATTCCCTGATAAGTTCCTCCTGCAATGGAGACCAATCTTCCTAATTCGACACCCGGCCCTCACGTTCGAATCTTGGTATAGAGCCGAAAGCGCCGCCCGCTCTATTGATCTTGCTGATAGGTCATGGGCGTTCTATACGACTTATCAGTACTCTCGCCAGCTCTACGATTGGTTCTTGTTCAACGTCGGAGAGAGTTCTAAACCTATTGTTGTTGATGCGGATGACATTCTTGATGGCAGTCCTACAATCAAGAAGCTGTGCAATTCACTCGGCATGGATGAACAGCATATCCTTTACAAGTGGGATACGATTAAAGCACCCGAGAACGCTGGATGTCGCGAGCTTAAGTTTATGAGCGAGTATTGGAACTCAACCTCAATTGATAGCTCAAAGAGCTCTCAGGGAATCAATCTGGATGTTGTTTATAGGCGATGGGCGGATGACTTTGGAGCGGAGACTGCTGGAAAGCTTAAGGGTATTGTTCAAGAGTCAATGGAAGACTATAATTATTTAAAGAATAAAAAGATATAAATTGTAATTAGCTATTATAGTTATAGATATTAACTGTAATGCATTTTTAAAAATAAATAAAGGCCTAATACTTAAAAATATAAATTAAGAAATACTTATACTACAGGCTACCTCAACCTTATTAACTATAGTAAACTAATTTAGCCATTATCATATTGGTCATACTTTTGAACCTCAGTCTCACTGGTTGTCGTCACTCTAGACACTCTGAAATCTTTCCGTTACTCATTAGAGGCTTCCTCCCTTTAACTATCTAAAGTGGACTGGTGACTAACCCTAATGTATATCGAGAGAGATGTCGAACTCAACTGGGAGTGAAACAGCTCCACGAGCAGCCTGAAATGTGATAAGGAAAAGGTAAGCTTTACAGCCTAGAAAACAGTAAGCTTAAATATAGTCATTAGATACTTTTCCAACAGGTCGCTCACCAAGCCTCAGCCAAATGTGGACTGGAGACAGATAACCTCAGTGGCACAGGTAAAGTCTCAGGAGACGTGAATCTTTGATTGAGTCATGGATCAAGGCCGTCTTTGCTTACGTTTGCACCAGCCTACGGACTCGAGAGGATTTAAGTTCTACTTGGGCTGCTTGTAGAAATCCAGCAAGGCTGGAGTGGAAGAGGCTGGATTTACCGATAGCTTCAAGGTTAGGCACCTACATGCTAGAGATGAGATCTTTTTACGATGTCATTGTGGCGGTAGAGATGGTGATAATTCTTTTGGTGGATTTGGCCACAAGGATATACTACTTTTTGTATCTGAGAGACTTTGAGAGAAGATTTAAGTTGAAGAGGATATAGAGTTCTCTATAAAGTTTACCTGTCCTGACTGGGTCTCCTCATAGATCATCGCCATGATCTCCAACAACTACATGAGCGTGCATGGCTGAGAGCTTATTCCGGCAGATAGAACTTGGAGCACGCATGGTTTGTACTGGACTCGTGGTTCAATCCCATATAACTGACATCGGGCCAACTTTAGTTGTCAGATCAAGCTTTCCGAAACTGTACTTTCCAACAATACCATCTAGAAAGCCTGTCTTGAAGTCTCTTTTGAGGATAAAAAGGTCATTGGTAACTTGGTTTGCAACTGCAAGGAATTGATTTCGAGGATCAGATGATAGAGAAAAGTGCCTAGGTATTTTACCATAGGTGCTGTTAAGGCCCAAGAATTGCAGTGGTTTCTTGGAGTAGATATCCAAAAAGTATAAAGCAAGGGTATCTGCCTTATCGACTGATTCCGTGTTCCGGTTGGATACATATAAGAAGCGCCTGTCATGCGAAACAGAAATTTCGGAAGCCAAATCGACATTGTTGGGCTTTGTACGCTTGCTTGAATCATCGAGAGTAGATGCTCTCTGCAGATGAGTGATACGCAAGGTTTCATTTAGGTCAGGGTGCTTGCCATAATAACCAACAGTGCCATTTTCAAGCAAGAAGACATTGACAGTGTTATCGAGCTCGGAAACCAAAAACATTATTGTTTTCTCTTTGCTGACTTGAGAGAAGACAATGTGGCGCGGACCAGTTCCTGGTAACAGTGTAATAGTCCGAATCTGTTTGACATGTTTCGCATCGTGTACCTGATATATGTAAACACGATCTGCACCTCGGTCAGGGACAGCCATGATATTTCCGCAGGGGCTAAAGGTGGCCGCATGCGGGTTCGCAATTTCCTGCGAATCTCCAGTTCCGGGTCCAGGATGCTTGAGATTGTAATGAAAGACGTTTGCAACGTGGCCAAAGTTGCCAGGAGAGTTCAGCGGGAATATGGTGACTGTAGAGCCGTCGCTGACGTGTGAATATGTGAGTAATATGAATCGTCGATGTAAACGTATTGGCTCTTTGCTTACATATTGGCTGAAGATAGCGTTTTTCTGTCTCTTGAAATGTCAAGGTAGACACCACCATCGCCGCGGGATGCTACTGCGTCAGATAGCTCAAGACATCCATTTGGTTGCTTTCTGAATGCGAAGATACCGCCACTCGTGGACGAATTGTTGGGGAAGTGTGTTCTCGAGACCGAGTACAGATATTCTCCCCTGTTTTTCAACCATCCTGGTTGATACCCTGCCTGGGTAGTGCCAACTAGTTGAATACTTCTGTCGCTAGGTTCAGAGGAATTAAAGCTTAATGTGAGTATACCTCGCTCTTGATGCGCGACGCGAAGAATATGAATATGCGATTTCGCCCATGCGCCATAGGTAAGAAGTATTATGATAAATACTGTAAGTGGAAACATATTATTTTTCTCAAGAATCAGAATTCCGATTTTGAGGTAGGTTTACTGGAGATGATGAGTGGAAAACAATGGCTCTGAAGTACTTATAATGACCTGCTGTAACTTAATTGTGTCTTGTTGTCATAAAGTACACGAGATATGCTAAATGCGATCGTGGCTTAGTATGATATAGTAAGCTTACGACGCCAAGTATGAGGTATAATTCCTGTTTTAAGCCTCCTGGGTTAAGGAATTCATCAATGTGCCGTGTTAACGGTCCTACGGACTTGTATTTATACCGGCGGACATATTCAATGCCAGCACAGAGTATAGCACCTAGCCCATTTGATAGCCGTGATAATACTTGGAACCCTACGGACGCGGACGTGTGATGTTCTTTGTCCGAGCCCGTTCAATCGAACGAGAAAGTCGGTGTGGTACGACAGAGTAAGCTTGATGTCGATACGCGCCTTAATAATCTGGCGTGATTGCCAGGCTTAATATTACATTTGTGAGCTTTTGGTGCAATCAAGAAATGGTTTGTGTCTGCATTACCAACTATAGGCAGTCGTGCTGGACCTACAAAGTCTCGTCAACCGATTGAAGCTCTCAGCCACAAGTCTCAGCTGCAAATAATACTTCTAACTCACAACTTAGGCTACAGATCGAACAACTCTGGGAACTCGTGCTAAATGATAATGAGCCGCTTTTAAATGTGACAGCGAACAGGCTCAGGATCGTCGAATAAAGCGACATAGTTGGCAATTTTACCAACGTGAAATTCTGTGAGTCAGAAAAGGTGAACATTGGACTTCGCCTTCCAAGGAGAACCATCTATGGACAGCTCATGGTTTGAATAGTACCTGTTCTAAAAGATTGTTAAGGGTCCGTATGGCGGCGAAGGAAACTACACGAAGCCGGCACAAGAGAGGAGACCCTCCTCAGCGAGCCTGGGCAGTCAAGAGAAGAGACCTTGTGGTGATCAGGTCTTAGACTTGTCGGAAGACTCATCTAAAGACACTATCAGTTCTAGAGTTTTCACGGGTATGTTATCGACTGGAGTCAAGGCTGGGACTGGCGCAAGTGGTACTGCAGTGCTTGATGCGCTCTTTTATCTGCTCTTATGGAGGCGAAGGAATGAAATGAGTTCAATGGTACAGCCAGAAAACAACACTAGCAAGCCTGAGCTGGACGGGACGGTTTCACCAGCAGCGAGGATGACATGCTGGCGGCAGAGGAAAGACAGCATCACACCAGTTCCTCGTCTTCTCGAAGAAGAAAATGCCGCGCTTGCTGAAGTTTCACGCGGGAAAATGGAGCTGCATGGGAGGGAAGTCAAAGCGGGAATGGATAGAAATGGGGTCAGGGGTACAAAGGAAGCCTGATAGTACGATAGATGGCAGACCCGGACAGGGACAGTTCCCTCCGTCGTCTGGTCTGTGCAGGGGCGAATAGTGCAGTGATTGAAAGTTTGGCCATGTCTATATGCCATTATAGTCCAAATGACATCCTTTTTTTGGTAATCGGCAACAAAGATCATGCCTCCGAGGGCTGCCGAAAGGAGACTACCAAACGCGGACAAACAGCCTCCGAGGTTCCACTAGTGCGACTATTCGCTTCTGGGGGTTATGCACCTACTTTTATGAGTTAGTTTGCAGAAGTTCTGTCCAAAACAGTATCGATTCCTAACTTTTCTTACACGCTGTTGGCTGGAAAATAACTCGTGTCCATGCTCTATAGTACCCTGTGACCCCTAAGTAAACCTTGAGACTCGAAAGTGAGGTAGCATTGACAATCTGAGGTTACTTAACATTTTTGTTTCCTGGCATATTGAGCATAACGTCAACACGAACTGCTGGTGGCAAGGATACGAAGCTAAAGTAAAGACCGAGATGGGGTGCTGGGTAAGGGAGACGCCGTTATACTAATTGAACAGCAGCGCTGAAATGAGAAGATAAGTTGTTTAATCTGGAAGGGCAAATATTCTTCGTGGCCAATTTAGTTCGAATGATCCCGCGTCTAGCAAGGGACTGCTGATACGCACAGCCTATATTGACTAATCATAGGCATGATAGAGCGAACGCTACGAAGACATAGAGAATTCCCAATCTGTCTCACAAGAATAGCGCTTGTCATTGTGTATCAAGATGCCAGGATTTTGATGACAGTCTTTACATTTGTGGTTTACCTGATGCAGCGTAGTACCTATCAACCTAGCCCTTATGATGTAAGAGAACTTGGTCGTTCGTCATATTGAAGCTTTACGGCAGCACATTTCGAAGTTTCTCACACTCCCTAGCCTCATCGTTTAGAGTCAGGGTAGCACTGAGAGTAGAACGGGTTTAGAATCTTGCAGTAAAATCCCTTGCCACACTGCATGTTCCCGGTCCACTCATTGCCACCGCACTGCTGGTACTGCCCTTGGGCCTTGGACACTGGAAGGGCTAGGATAGCGGCGCTGGCCCTCTCCGCGACGGTGACGATGTAGGCACTGGGGTTGGTGGTGACCATGCCTGGGAAGATAGAAGCGTCAGTGACGAAGAGGTTGTCAGTGCCATAGACCTTGGTGTTGAGGTCAACGACGGCGGTACCGCCCTGGCGACCGTCATCCTTGCCGAGCTTGTTGGTTCCAATCCAGTGGTTGGCGCGGCGGTTGCTCCACGAGACGACCATCTATATGTAACATTAGACCACGCTTTGAACGCCAGTAGAGATTCATGAAGCACCCACATCATCGACGTATTTCTGCGAGGTGACACCTGGAGCTGGTTGGAGCCACTCTAGGCCCTCCACGCCAGAAAGAGCCTTACGAAGGTTTTCGAGGGCTTTCACAACAGCCTTCTTGTCTTCTGCATCGTTGAGGTAGGGATTACCAGAGACGACGGTGTTGAGAGCGCTTGTGATGGTCATGCGACCGCGTGACTTGGCACCACGGCCGAGGTACTGGCTAATGGTGATGGACTCTAATTCACGAGTTAGGTCTGGTGAGGCAAATCGCACGGGGTGTCAAGCAGTACTTACTGTTGCTAGTCTCTCCGAGACTAGGCTCGACGCGAGCAGTCCACTGCATAGATCGGACGCGGCCATCAGCACCAGAAATCTCGTCAAACATGACCGGGCCAATGTTAGGGGCAGCTTGAGCGAGAATGCCTGAGCGTGCATCTACCTACAAGTTAGTCATGATAGCCAAGTTGCAGAAGACGATTCAATACTGACCCAGGTACTTCTTCTTATCCGAGGGGATTGGGTTATCATAGGCCTCGTAAAAGTCGTAGAACACGACGCTGGGGTGCTTGATAACAGTGTCGGTCTGTTATGCTGTTAGCCGGACAATCGGGTTACTCTACGACGGCACTTACATTGGTATGGTCCTCGAGATTGTAGCCAACAGGGAGGTTGATCCACTGATCTTTAGCGATCATGGAGCTACCATCGCGACTAGAGTTGGCGACAACGCTGAGCTGGTCATCTGGGCCAATACCACCTATAAAGCATGATTAGAACCACAAAGCTCTGGCAGCATATGGACAAGATAAGACTCACTTCGAAGGAGGATTTTAGCACTGCCAAAAGTGCCAGCCGCAAGAATAACTCGACCAGTCTCCGGAGTGAGCTTGACAGTACCAACATACCCGGCACCGGAGAAGGGCTCGACCTCAAGGCCGGTTACGTGACCGCCAGAGCGAATGACACGTCTTACTTGGGTGTTGGTCCAGTACTTGAAGTTGTTTCGCGCCTTGGCAGAGACGAGGTAGGTAGCAAGGGGACCTCCTCGCTCTCCTCCGGAGAACATAAAAGGTGGGTGGGTATAAGTGCGGTTCTTCGCACCCGGTTTTTCAAGAGCGTTGACTTCATTCCAACCGGCCTTATCAAGGGCTCCAGCGACAACCTTGAAGCCCTGGTCGAGGTATAGCTTACCATCCATTGATGGGTAACGTGTACCAGGAATACGACCGAAAACACGCTGCTCGTAAGTGGCCATGTCTTTGGCCTTCCAGCCATCGGGGAAGTTAAAGTCCCAGTCTTGTGGATTGGGACGCCACCAAAGACCAGCGTTGATGGCGGTACCTCCACCGAGAACACATCCGGCCATCTGATCGGTATCGGGACAGGCAATGCCGGAAGAATCGGCCCAGATCTCGTTGCATAGACCGGGAACATCGAAGCGAGTCAGGTTGGTGCCTCCGAGCCAGTCTGGCTTACGGGTACCGCCCCAACGACCAGAGGATGGAGGTCCCTTCTCGATGAGAAGGACTTTTTTACCAGCCTCGCTGAGACGGTCAGCGACGGGAAGACCACCGGCACCACCGCCGACAACAACGTAATCGTATGTCTCGTCAGGGACAGGGGTACCGCTGGGCGCAGCTGTTGAGGAAGGCTGACTGGTTGCGGTGGAAGTAGGCTGCTCACCACCGCAGTTGCCCTCAACAACCTTTGTAGCGAGCTTAGCCCACGTGTCATACTTACTATTGAAGGCGTTGCTTGTAAGTTGGCCACCGAAAATGCTCTGGGTTTCGTGCTGGAGCATCCTCGCCTCAAGGGGGCACTCGGGGTCAATCACATCCGTGGTACTATGAGCCCATCCGAGAACGGCGATCGAAGACGTGGTCGCTAATTGACCCGAGTTTCCGTCTTGCGACCAGGAAGTGCAGCCCTGGCAGCGGTAGATGAGAGTGAAACCATCCGCCGTGATGCTGGAAGAGATCTGGGTCAGAGTAACCTTGCCCTTGTACTGGACAGGCTCGACCTGGGCGTTGGCCCAGAAGAAGGATGTAAGGATATCGCCGTCGTGAGGGTAGGCCATGAGTAAGAGCGAGTTTGTCATGGGTCCGCCGTAGGAGAGACCGCACCATCCAGTCCCTTTCCCACTGGGAGTCGCGCAATTCTGTGTACATGGTCAGAGAAGAAGAGCTATCGGTATCGAATAGTGCCTTACGAGGTATCCAATGAGCTCATCGGCGTTTGTGGTCTGGCCATTTTCGGGAAAAGCGAAGCCGAATGTCATGCGGGATCCGGATGCAGTCCATGTGTCGAACACGATCCCAGTGTCGGGGTCGGTGTAAGATACGGGCGTTGATTGTTGAGCAGACACATACTGGGTAACTTCTCAAAGGTCAGCACTCTAATACTGCCGAAGCGGAACATATTCAGACTCACAGGGGGCCAGGGCCAGAAGCCATAACGAGCGGTAGGAAACCATGATGACGAATCCCCGGTCGACGATTGGCGAAGGCCGTGGGAAGATTGGAAAAACAGAGCAGTAGGCGCATTCATATACCGACGGGAGCCATGAATAGCTAACAGGCAGTCGAAAATGACCAAGGACCGATGCCGTATTTAGGTGCTACATTGGACGCTCCGAAAGGAAGCAAAATAGGGTACGCCCTAGCAGGGATCTATGTCGGATGAAACGAACCTTAACCCTTTCTCCAGTTGATGACGGAGACCCGGGCCTTATTTCCAACATTATTTTTATGCTTAGCATTAATCTGCGACGGTAATTCCTCTAACCCAAACAAACTCATAGTCCTTCATTCTATATGATCTGGACAAGAGAGCAAGGCGCGAGCTGCGTGTGAGGTGTGAGATGCAAGCATCAGCTATTGGATCTATCAACTCGATACATCACTGCGAATAATTAAAGAACACTAGCATTTCGAATTCGTTGGCTTATATACATACGCTCCTACTTCTACCGTGTCTTCGGTCAGCCTCTTCGACGCGACCCCTTCACCCAAGATTGTTATATTGCCCAAACTGTACCAAGATCCCGTTATTTCCAGAAGCGGGTGTCGGAGGCTAACGCTCCTTTTCTCCCCGCAACCATGTGATGGTGGCTGAGCGGCACGATGCTCCGGGTCCGGGCTCTCCTGTTCAGGCACAGCCAGTTAGATTGACGGTGGCCCCCCACACACCCAAGCTCCTCTGTAATTATAGTGTAACATTGGCGCCAAAATTGCCGTCCGGCTTCGTCAAAAGCATCTCACGCGTGAGCGAGCCCCATGTATGTTTTATGTTGAACGACGACGTGGTAATATTTACGCTACCTAGATAACTCCAAAATCCTCGAAGCCTTCTTTGTTCTTCTTCCTTCTCTAGCCTGAATGATGTCACCGTCCAGTATCTCATAAACATAGCTAAGTCTCGTTAGAGGCAATACGCCATAAGCTCAAGATGTAAGCTTCGTACATACCTTTGACCAATCGCGATGCATCCCTCTGGATATCGTCTCAGGACAATAGAAACAGCGGCGCCAATAAGAATAGTCACTTCGTCTCCGACTTGGGTCTACGGGTGAGAAAGCCCGATATAGCCCTTTTTAGTTCTAAACATTGCCAATTAGGCACGGTGGAGAAATTAAAGACAAGAAACCCCATATCTCTGCGCCCTCGCAATGTAAACACGGTATCAGCTTATCTTCATCTTTAGAAGTTATAGGCGGGAATTGAGTCGGATCACAGAAGGAAACCTGCAAACGTTATATCCGTCACCCCCACTGGCGGTTCAACGATACCAGTCGAGAAACAAAGTGCGCCAGAATGCTTCAGCCCAAGATTGACCTGTGAAAGGGTAGTTCCCTTTGCTGAATATATGTGCAATATTCTTCCATAACCTCATTATGCCCATATGCTCATTGTGAGTTTGCTCTCTCCGGTCATGGTCACTACTGATGGCTCTCCTCCGAACTGTGATAAACACGATAATCAATAGACCAACCTCTTCAATGATGTCAGCCCTCTCGACCCGTACATAGAGGACTTTTTCACAGGAGGTGTACTCGAATTCGAATGGCGAGACCTAGTGTAGGCTTGCATTGAATACCTGTACTGCTTCGCGCTTTACAGTTGGGGTGTTGAGGATTTGATCAGGTTTGTCCAGCTGATTCTGCGCTTTCAAATAAGTGGCTATGGTTTTGATGGCCGTTGATTCGTTAATCGAGATAGATTCAAGCTGTCAGAACTGTTGTTGTAACTCTAGTCTGGTACCCAACTAGGTAGGTAATATATGTCTCCCAAAATCTTAAAATMCCCAGGAGATTAAGGACAAGCCGTTATAACTGCCAGACTTCTAAGCTTAGACATAAACTGCTTTACAGACTTTATAAACAATTATCTGGTTCTTACTATTTTTATAATATTTTAAAAAGTATAAAGTAAGCCTAGCTATTTAATAGCACCTTAGCCAGTAAATTTTCTACTAAATTATACCCTTACTTAAGGAAGAGTGGGTTTATCCTAGCCTGATTTATTTTCATTTTTCCAATCGATCCTTTTCCTCCTCTTTTCCCATTATAAAAAAATCAATCTACTGCTTCTACATAATATGGCCCAACCAGTGGTCGATGAGGAAGACTATCCTTCCTGGATCAATGATGACGTCTTCCGGCAAGCTCATTTTCAAGGAGATCCTCGATATAACCGTAGCGTTATCCAGCAACTAGACACAACGTTATCTCTCCTAGACGGCCATAGACCAAAGAAATGGGGCTTTGCTATTATGCCCACCACTAATGGCCCTGGATCGGACAAGAAATTCGAGCATGCTCTTGAAATTATAAACAATATCGCCCAGCACAGGGCTGAAGGCGAAGTTGAGGGTGTCAAGTTCCTGATTACCCGTGGCAAAGAAACAGACTTTCGATATACTGATATCCCTATTGAGGTTGACACGCGCCCAAATGAGGAATTCGTACGCCAGTATGAGAATGACGTCCTGGAGGATCAGAATTTGGAAAACGCCTCTTTGGCTGCGGTGCGCGGATATTTCAAAACCTGGATCGCCTCCAAGGGGGGCTAGTCGAACTTTGGGTATACAAGATATGTTGCGTACATCATGCTCGATGCCGAGACCCTCTCTCAGCTTGCTACGGCGCCTAAGGACTTTCCTCACGGCTGTGATGTTTACAGCTCCTCATATTGGGTCAAGATGGTCGACGTGGAGCCAAACCCTGACGAGGCAGTTTATGTACGTGTGCGTGGAGCTGATGATTTGATAAAATATTGGTTTATCCGGAACCTGATCCGAAGCCATGTGTTGACACACAGGAAAGATCGTGATTATCCAGGAGTTCTTCACTTTGGCGACCCGCCGTCAGAAGGATTTGAGGCATTTGGGGGACCACGTCTTTCCTTGTTTTCGAGGTCTATCATGTGTTTCGCTTTTCTGTGGCCGATGTATGTGTAAAGCAGATACATTGCTCATTCTAAGTCTCGTGACATATTCGTGCAGCTACTTGTGATGACTCTTCTATGGACTCTAATACGCAACGTGGAAAATAAGACACGGCATCGAACCAAACACTCCTTCTCTGACCCTACTCGCCTGTCTTAGCAGGCCAGACGTAACTGTCTGTGATGCAAATCGTTGTAGAAACTGAAGTTCTTTAGAGGTAAGGAACCTCCCAGTCATGGTTCGGTCCTACACAGTGTGCGATCTGATAGCAATTCATGTACCTTTTGGAGGTCAGCAATTATCTGCATGTTGGCAATGTTATTCAAATCTGTCCCAGCACATGGAGGGCGAAATACCTCGGCATCCTGAGCTAGCATAAGCTTGTCGGGTCCAAATTGACGAATTCAATCATCTCCTTCCGTGCGTACACTGACTGAATGTTTTGCATGGTTGATATTAATAACTTTAGCCCGGAGATGAACGTCAATATCAAATCGTTGTTTAAAATCCGCTGGTCTGCAGAAGATCAGCTCCTCATGATGCTCAATGACTTGTCCCAGCGCGTAGGGAATGCCGCAGTTGGCGAAGCCGGTATAAAGAACTGGCGGGGGTCTATTGAATGCAAGTTTTGATAGGTGGCGTGGTGATGCTTAAATTGCGAACTCTATGCATGAACCTATAAGTATCGGGTAGGTATATGCTATCACATGGAACGCTGTTCTACAAGTTTATTATCTGCCCTTTAAAAAAGTATTTTGTCTTCCCCTCGGCTCTCACGCCAGTAATTAGTAGCTTGAAGGATATCTCGACATCCCTCTAGCATCCATCCCCATTTCTGCAAGAACAAAGCACTGGCTTCCCACCCATGGAGTTCCCAAGGGTATCCCCAGACTATCAGGTTCGGCTTCCCGTCTAAGCCCGGCTTAACATCGAGCAGGTCACCGCATAGTTCATCCATATCCAGGTGGTGGAGTGAGAGCAGGATTTTATCCCTCATTTGGGGGATTGGGAAAAGGTCAATCCATGGATGATGGGGAACAGTCCTTTGCAAGGCTGTTGGCTGGAGACTTAGCGGGTAGGGGTCAAAAGACTGCAATGGTCCAATTATAGAGAAAGGCGAGACAATACCCTTTCTTTGCCAATGATCCGAGAATCCCAATGCAATACCATTCTGTACAAGGGCGTTGAACACGTTGACCTGTATGAGAGTTGACAAATACCATGGCTGCGGGCAACCTAGCACATAATCCTCATAGGCCTTTTTGACAAACTCGCGGATTGCAGCTTGGGCGTCCGAGCGTAGCAGTAGACAGCCCGATCCAGGCGTGTAGCCTGCGGGGGGTCCTATCATAGTCAGATACTGAGTAGCAGCTGGTTGTTCCGGCGTATCCGGTGTATCTGCTATGTCTTTGTTGACGTGGCGAGGTCTGCTGCCTTGCTGCAGATGTAACGATGCCGATCGTCTTGACGCTTTTCTTCTCTCTTCAATTCTAGTGTATAAGCAGGTATCCAGCTTCCAAGACCAACTCACACTCACCGTATGCCCTTTGGTTTAGGCGGTTCTGCAGCCTGCGTCTCTCAGCACTGCTTGTTTTCCCAGTCCAGTCCTCGCTTGCGGTACGTATCTCTCGACGCTGTACCATGTCAGTCAGCTCGATGAGAGGGGCCGCAGCCAGGTTGGTTGGATATTTCATGGCCGTGTTGCTTTATTGCAGACAGGAATTCGTCATATCTAAGAGCTAGGAATGTCGTCGACTTGGGAAAACTCGTTTTCCACCTCATTGGGATGCCTGTGATTCTGGCGAGAACTCGAGGACCCGCAATGAGCTCGTATTACAAATGGCTGTATTGAGTTAGCTGTTCTAAGCAGGTTGCATTAGCGTCAGGCTTTTGACCAATCATAGTCACGTAGTCACCGAATGTACCAGAGACTCTGGCTGCTCCAGGTTTGTTCAGAACTTATGTATTATTTATCGTGTAACATTTTGATCTAAGCAGGTTGCATTGACACCAGGTCACCTGCGCGGCTTCAGGACTAACTTACGCCCAGACCTAAGCAAGTTGCATTAGTGTCAAGCTCCTAACCAATGATGACTCAATCTCTCCTGCCATTAGAGCTTCCGTGGGAGACATAGCATAGCTGACCGGGAATAGTTCGTAGTATTGGAGTACTTCGACGGCTGATATTCCCAGGGTAAGTTGAGTATTTAAAGAGCAGCCTGTCCACTGCCCAAGGTCTTACCAGACAAAAACATCCATAACTCCATTTTGAACATGTCCCTTCCGCAAAAATCGACACAGTGGGTGGTCAAGACATTCGACGGCCCATCGGGGCTTGAAATGCAGGTGGCTCCTATCCCTCGCATTGGACCCAATGACGTGATGATAAAGAGTAAGGGATCATTCATGGCCTTAACTTTGTCCCGGTCATTTTCTTTCCTACTTACGTCAATCTAGTTTACGCTATTTCCTTGAACTACCACGACATTGGCACCACCAGGGTTTGTCTTTCCTTTTCCTGAACCCCATCTCCTTCGGCTTACACTAACTTGCATTCAGGGCCATTATGAACATTCCTTGAAAGATGTCGTTCCCGTCTCGGATGGATCTGGGGTTATCATAGCAATCGGGTCTAATATCCTTAACTTCCAGATAGGCGACAGAGTCACAACAATCATGAATGGAGCACATCAATCTGGTCCGATAAAGCCACACTACATGAATGCCTTATTAGGAACCGCTTATCATGGCGTCCTTCAAGAGTATGCCGTCATTCCAGCACAATACGTCATTACTCTTCCACGCAGCCTCAGCTTTCTTGAGGGCAGCACGTTGCCAGTGGCAGGGCTGACTGCCTGGAACGCTCTCTTCGGAGCCGGCCGCACTCTACTCCCAGGGCAGTGGGTTCTCACACAGGGCACTGGCGGTGTGAGCACCTTTGCTATCCTTGTAAGTCTCAGCTGCCTAGCTTAACCAGACTCAACAACATCAAGCTAACTCAGACTGTAGTTCGCCAAGGCAGCTGGCGCCAAAGTCATTGCGACTACGTCCTCGGTTGAAAAGGCCAAAAAGCTCCGCGACATGGGGGCTGACCATGTCATTAACTATCGCGAAGTTGAGAACTGGGGTGTCCAGGCGCAGGCTCTTACTCCAGGAGAGGAGGGAGTTGACATCGTAGTCGAAATCGGGGGCGGTGTGACTCTAAAACAGGTACAAAGGGTACTCCCACGCTTTTGAAGTGCTACTACTAACATGTTGGAACTTGATAGTCTCTTGTTGCCGTTAAGATGGACGGACTCATCTCTGTGGTTGGAGTAAGGGCTGGTACTCACCCTCGAGAGCAGCCAGTTCTTATGGATATGTTTTTCAGGTTCTGCACTATACGTGTCGCATACGTGGGCCCGCGCGTGCAATTTGAGGAGATGAATCGTGCAATTGAAGTTAATAACATTAAGCCGGTGATTGATGGGCGCATTTTCAGCCTTGAAGAGGCCAGGGATGCTTTCAATTACTTAGAGAGCATGAATCATTTCGGCAAGGTCTGCATCGAGGTGGTGAAAAGTGTCTAAGAAAACTTGCTTAGATGCTATAGTTAATATGTTACAATATTTCAAAAATATGAGACTATCTCGAGGATGTTCTGCTAATACTACACTACGTTTTCGTTTTTATCTAGGTCCCTTTCATTCCCTTCGTACAGCCAAAGTTCTTTAACAAGCAAGGATCTTGGCAACTGCAGCTTCAGCGGCAACCATAACAATGGTCTGGATATTGCCAGTAGGAAGGTCGGGATGGATGCCAGCATCAGAGACAAACTAGAGATAATTAGCTGGTGGATTGGTGGATAGAGACAAGCTACACTTACAAGGTTGTCCATGCCATATACCTTGGCGTTGGTGTCAACAACGGAAGAGCCTCCCTTGCGCCCATCATCAGTCCCCATCTTGGTGGTACCAGCATAATGGTTCCCGCTGGTAACAGCCTTGATGATAGCTGTGGTGTTGGTCTCCTTCTGAAGAACGAATCCAGATGAAGAATCGGTGATCTTCTCAACCATGTCCTGAACAAAAGCCTTCGCGGCCTCGACATCCCCACTTGTTTGCAGGTAAGGAGACTTCTCAATAACAGTCTTGCCCTCCTCAGTCATACCCAGAACACCAGTCGAGGTCAGGCCGTGAGTCATGTAGACCTTGATGGAAGCGATACCATCACCTCCAGCAGCACATGACCCTTGGAAGTATCGAGTGACACCGTCGGAACCCTTGTTGGAGCTGAAGAAGATCATGCGATGGCGGCCTTGAGTCAGGACTCCAGAGGACTTCTTCTCATATAGATCGATGTTCTTGGTGTCAGTGCCGTTCAAGACACTATCAGTGTCAAGCATGCCCCAAGCACCACCAGTCTTGACAGTGAAGGTGAAGATGGGATGGTCCATGAGGTTCTCGCCAACAGGAAGGTTGATCCAGTTTCTCTCGGCAGGAAGAGTGACACCAGTCTTCTTCGCAGTCAGAATCTGTTTCTTTGGTCCAATGCCTGAGTTGAACAGCAGGCGAGGAGTTGTGAGGGCGCCAGCAGAAAGAACAACGCGACCGTGCTTTGAAAGCTTCACAATCTCCTTCTTGCCTGCAGCAGTCTCAACCTCAACGCCAGTGGCTCGTGAGCCTGAACGGACAACGCGAATGACCTTGGAACCCATGCGAAGAGTGAAGTTGTTTCGCTTCTGGGCCAGGGGGAGATAGGTCCTGACGGGCCCAGCTCGCAAGGCATTCTTGACATTCCAGGATGGCCAGCTGTAAACCTCGTGCTTCTCGTCAGGCTGCTTGATCATGTCAACCGACTTCCAGCCTAGCTTATCGAAAAAGCCAGACAGAGTGTTGTAGAGACCCTGGTCGTATCGCTCGTTGTTTTTGGAGGGGACCAGAGTGCCTTGGTTGCGAGCATATAGTCTGTTGGCGGCCGGGGCAACATCGTTCCATTTCCAACCCTTGGGCCACTTGTCGTCAAAATCGCGAGCAGGAGGATGCACAAAGACCATGTAGTTGACGGTGACACCGCCACCAAGAACACAAGCGGCTAAGGCAGCAGTATCATCACACATATACTCATTCCATAGATCAAGTCCACCAACAGCAGAAGAGAGGCCAGGAACGTCGATTGGGGTAAGGGAGGAGTCCCAAGATAGAGTGTGATTGGATCCAGTTGCGACGGTTGGACCGTGTCCACGCTCGAGGAGCAGTACCTTCTCGTTTGCTTCCGAGAGTCGCTCAGCTGTGATCAGGCCAGCAGGGCCTCCGCCAACGACAATATAGTCGTAGGCAGAATCGGCGGTCTTGCATGAGGCTGGTGCCGTGAGAGCAGCCAAGGTAAGAGCAGACACGCCCGAAAGAGATGAGAAGCGCATGATGGGCCTGGGAAATGATGATCCACTTTACAGATTGATAATGACTGGCATGGGAAGGTCAATCGATGATGAGGGAACCTGGTTTCTTAAGAAGTTGGGTGTTGAGAAGCCGATCTTGTCGCCCCATTGTATGCTTTTGAGATCCTTAGCGCATGAGGTTTCATCGATGGAGCAGACCAAGGCATTTCTGTTAATCAAGGCCGAAGGCTATACTATCTACGCGATAACGCCGGGCAGATGGGTGCCATGGTAGCTGATTCATGCTACGATCAGTTAAGATCCTCGTAGTTCGCCGATTTGACTCCATATTCCAAGCTAATTCTTGATAAGATAGAGTGTTTACATTAGTCAGGTGGTCCGGGTTTGCCGTGAAACACTCATCATGTCCGCCCTGGAGACGTCAAGCACTGTGTTGGGGCCAAGTTTGACAGGTCGCATCCCGGTCGGCTGGCAAATTCTCACCTTTTGTCATGATTATTCAGACGAAGTGGTAGTCCAAAGATGGTTAGAGCCGTTGAGAAGTAGGTTTCGAACCTTTCTAGAACAAGTATGCTCGCTGCCATTGCCGAGACTAATGTCGGCTATTGATTGGACACTTTTGTCGTCGCACGGAGATTCTCAAATCCCACCAATCAGAACACGTTTATGCATCTGCCTTAAATTTTAACTTCGGCATTTAAGCCGGTTTTTAAACTTGCATTTTTCTTGGGCTGTCTTTGCATGATTCTCAGCGCACAATAATTACGCGCTCCTTCTTGAAGTCCGTTTAAACGCTTAGACGGGTAGCAAAGTACAGAATGCGTAACTGTGACGTATGTCTTAGATCGCCTCAAATCTAAACACTACATATCCAACATTGATTGCTGCTTAAAACAAGGGGCTGGCATCTCGTATACTTTATCAGTACAAGGCTAAGGCTATGTGCGCATTATTTTGCTCGGTCTGGTAAATGGAGTGTGTTATTAGGTTGGAGGTTATGCTCGCTTGGTCTATGGCATTCATCCCATACTGACAACGTACTGCTTCCTGCGATGGTTACTTTTAAATTTTATATGTATATTAATACAATAGTCAGTCTTCTCCTAAGCGATGTATTCAGTTACTTAATTCATAATGCAAAATTCTTCAACATGCGTCTAATCATTAACAAAGCATACTGAATTGTATATATTTATAAGATTTAAATCTACTTCGCTACCCTGAAGCTGTAGCCAAGAGTGGGTCTATACCTCGGCATCTCCGGCTGCAGCGTAATCCTGTCCACTAAAAATCAGGATTTCTCCTATTAAGCCAAATCGGCACAAGCGCTGAGTTCAATCTTTGTCTCAAATTGATGAAAATATCGGTCAACTCATCACAACTGATAGAGGATTCGTCAATTTAATATTTCCTAGGTGTTGGGCATAGTTCTTTTGGTACTCGACGTCTGGCATTGTGCATTGGGCTTGCATTCGTCAATTGTCTGCGCTTGAATTGGAATAGGAGACTGCCGATCTGGACTTTGCTGCGATACTTCCCCCAAGGGCTATAAATGTCCTGGCCGATACTTTGCCACTGTGAGAATATTGTGGATATATTATCGTAATCGGTATCCACACATGACTCAGATGAGCCAGCAAGGGCCAATTTGATACACTCTGCTGTGGGGTAGGTAGAAAGCTCAAATGCAGCATTGGATATTCGTGGCCCCTGCGAGCTGTAAGGTGATTGACAACGATGTGAAGTACGGATACATTGAGAGATAATTCGAGTTATCTGATGGGTTTGGATCTATGCACGTATTGTGAAGTGCATAGCCTGAGATTATGCAACGGATGTTGAGGACATATATGGCGTCCTTTAGCTGTGTTCATCCTAATAATAGCTACAACAACGGAGATTAGTTCGTGTTTATGGAGTCACTAGCCACTTAATCTCGTTCTGTGAGCAATACGTCACATGGTGCATTCTGCCTATAAGATATCGCAGCAACCTATAATTTGTTAACAGTCTATCCCGCTCCTTTCGCATTACCTCGACCTCGCTATTGACCTCATACAACCAAAGATGGGTTCTGTCACTCGTTTCGCCTCGGCCGTTTTGGCAACTTCGACTCTTCTCGGCGCTGCCTCAGCTGCCGTTTTGGACATGCCCATGGTCATCAAGGATGGCTACGTATGTTTGATCGGCTTTTGTTCTACAGACGAAAACTAACTGTGATAGAAAATGGTCCAGGTCGGTGTCGGAAAGCCCGAGCAAGACTTTCTTCTTCTCTTCGACACTGGAAGTGCTTCGACTTGGATGATCGATAGCGAGTGCGCCACCGAGTGTCCCCACTACAACAAGGACCGAATCGGGTATAACTTCACAGCATCTTCTGCTGGAAAATACACGGGAGAGGATGCCTCAATCGACTATCTTGGAGGAAAAGTTGCGGGCCCGACCGTGGAAGAGCGCTTCGAGGCGGAGGGGTTAACTTGGCAGTCGAAGTTTATCGCGGCCAATGAGAGCAACTGGTCCTCGCTGGCCGCTGCCGGCTTCATGGGCCTGGCTTTTGGTAGTATCGCTGATGGCGGCGCTACACCCGTGTTCGAGACTCTTATGGCGGAGAAAAAGGTGGATGAACCTCGGTTCGGCATTTACTATTCGAAAGAAGATGGCGACGATACCAAGGGCAAGCCAGGAAAGGGTCTCCTCACCCTGGGAGGGTCCAAGGAGAAGGAATATATCAAGAGCGACTTGATTGAGATCCCGATCAACACCAACCTCAATGACTACGACGTCTGGCGATCCGTTCTTCACAGCACTACCGCCTCGCGAAAGGGAAAGAACTGCTCTCAGACCAGGTCCAAGGTTGACATTGATGTCTCGGTTGTCTTTGATACTGGAGCCTCTGGTATCACCGTTCCCGAGTCCAAGATCGAGGACATTTACGAATCTATCGGCATGAACTGGACGGCAATTCTCAACGGCGAGCACATTCCTTTGTGCAGCGAATTTACCAAGGACTGGTCTGTTGCCTTTGAGGTTGGCTACTACGGCGACAGTAGGTTCCTCAACGTCACTGGTGATCAACTGGCCCTTCCTGGTTTTGCCAACCGAGACGATGCTTGCTGGCCACCGATCGATTCTGGCGCTGAGGGATTCGCCTTGCTTGGCGTCCGTTTCTTGAAGAACTTCTACACCGTCTGGGACTATGGCAAGTTCCCCGAGGAGGCTGGGTTCATCAACCCCACGCTATCTTTCGGCTACTTGAAGGAGGGTAAATAGATTGAGAATGTGAATGTCGTATTCTAGTTTAGTTGGGATATAAACTTGTAAACCACCCTTTTCCCGTCGTCTTGCTCTTGTCCCATTGAACCTTCTGCTATGCATTGCTCCTCCCCCCTTGTGACATGCACGTGCAATACATGCTACTATTGTCTCATACTATGGCGCTCCAGAATCTCAGTCCATATGTCCCATCGACTGGAGCACTCATGTCAACTAGAGATCAGCCACAGTTGCAGTAGTAAGAGTCTCCTATAGTTCCATTAGCTCGGCTCGCGAGGGTCTCGTCAAAGGGCTTTTCATTGAATGCATACCTGGCTGCGAGCAAGCTTCCAGTGCAGCTGACTCGGCTCCGCCCATGATCAGGAGGTGCTCGATACAATCATCACAGTTGTTGATGGCCATGCAATCTCTCTGGCACTCTTGTTGAGCTCGTGTTGTGCAACCAGTAGTGCATTGTCCAGGTGGCTGGTTGAAGCACTCAAGAGTGCACAAAGACTGCTTCTCAGCAGCGCAGTCCGTGTATGTACCTCCTAGACAATTGGGGTTCTACCCTACTTCCCGAGGGCCATTGCATCCGTAGACCAGAGGAATGATGGCACAAAGAATAAGAGGGAACTGTAAATATTAGCACTGCGCATGTACACTTCTGACAACGTACCTTCATGGTGAGTGTAGGGTTGATGGGCTGTTAAACTTAGATGAGGAGTATTGGATTATGTTCAGTCTGTTGAAGTCGTAATGAGAAGGCGGCTTCGAGGAGGACGTCCTGGTTTTATTATTGAGATAAAGAGCTATATGCGTCTGCCTGGCCATCGAATGACATCATTTATTGCATCCTCAACCAGCTGTAATGGGGCTGTGGATCCAGAGATGCGAAGGATCACACGGGATCGACAAGCTGAGACGAGTTTACCTAATTCCGCTCTCTTGACTGGTTGATTCGCGAGATCTGCGAATCCTTCTGAAGCATCAGGATTAAAAAGGATCTGATAACGAGTCAGGAACATACGAGTGACTGAACTTGGCTAGGGGAGGAAAGGAAATTTGAGACCTTGATTATAAATGACAAAAACACTTAGGTAACTTTATATGAATTTAGAATATTTATACTAAGTTTAGGATATCCTTTACTGAGTTTATTTTGGTACCCTATATAAAGGTCTTGTGTTTTCTTGCTCCCCGAGGCTTGGCCAACTTAAAACTAGGCACTTATGCAGAGCTCAAAACTAGTCCGAGATGGCACTTCAAGTGCCTTGGCATTACCTCATGTGTCCGTCTTGGAGAGGAAGCTGGTTGTTGATGGGATTTCATAGCCTACGTGAAGGAAAAAGGTTTGGAGCCTAAAAAAATGCCTCCTCGGCTTAAATACTGGTGACGAAATAGACCTCCGACTGTGCTGTTGTTGTAGTGCGAGTTGGCCCGATACGTTGTTGCGTTAAATAAAAATCTGTATAGTCATATTTCTAAGACACATTAATGAGCCAATAAGGCAATGCGCAATTAGGACTTCAATCCATTCCAAAGAATAACCATATAAATCGCTGTTAGTCGTTATTCTCATTTATATCTCTAGCAGGTTGCTCTGTTACCCCTGAGGCTCTATTCAACTTATAGTACCTCGTGACCTCAGCGCTCAGGCTGAAGTAAATTAGTGCTGTTCCTTGAATTGGACAAGATATAGTTGAGTTAATAAAAACTACAGTTTTGGTCCACGACTTGGAAAAACACATTAGTAAAGCATTGATTTAAGATGTCAAGCCAGATGCGGTAAGATATGCCTCTGTAATTTTGGACTGCCTTAATAATACCATAAAATATCAACAAAAACCGCACCAATCTAGGCCATCCCACCTTTGAACAAGTTTACGCGACGATTGGATCGCATAAGAACCTCCCCTATATTACCCCGCAATGTTAATCTTTTACTGTCATGCGAGTGAATGAACCCTGACATCCCACCGCCTTCTCCCACCGGACTTTCCCCGCTAGACACAAGTCGTAGACTAAAGCCTCCCACCGGAGAGACATGCTGGACTGGGACCGGGACTTTTAGAGCAAGCAGACTAGCGGAGCCTTGTTGAACACTGAAGCATTCTTGGCTTTGAACCCTTTGAAGCATTGCCGGACGCCTCACCCGTCCCCACGGGGTAGACGGTGCAGGAACCAGCTAAAGTGCCGAGTTCCGTAGCGCCACTGAATTATCAAGTATAAGTATACATATCTCTGTGACATCTCGTTCAAGCCTTTACATCGCAACAACATCTTCAATACTCATTCAAATCTCAATATCTTACATCCTCTTCAAGGTTAACACTTGTAACTATGCGGTCTCTGACTATCAGCGGCCTGTTGGCCATGGCAGCGCTGCCTCAGCTGGGCTTTTCATCCGCCATTGAGCGCCGCCAAACATCATCCAACACGGCTACAGTCGACCTCTCCAAGGGTCGTGGGTCGCCGAAGCACTTGGCTTCTGGGTTTATCTACGGCATTCCTGACTCCGGGTTTGGCCAATCCCCAACTCAGATCCCTGATCACTTTTACACTGACATGGGCTTCAACTATGCCCGTGCCGGAGGCGCACAGATGAATGAAGGCGGCTGGGTCCAGGGCCTTCAAGCCTATGCCGCGCGATTCAATTCGACCAAGCAGAACTATCTGACCTCTCGCAAGTTTGGTGCCAGGTTCCAGCTCTTACCTCACGATATCTGGGGCACTGATCATGCAACCTCATCTACGGCCTGGCCTGGCGATAATGGCGATTGGACAGATTACGACAAGTTCTTGAACCAGTTGCTTGGTGACTTGCAGTCTAATAACATGTTGGACGGCTTGGATATCGACATCTGGAACGAGTAAGTGAAACACTCATACTATGCTATTGGCCAGTATTGTTTCTGACACAGGACACACAGAGCAGATGGTAGCTTTTGGAGCCGCAGCCAAGACCAGTATCTGCAGATGTGGAAGCGCACATACCAGCGCATTCGATCCTGTACGTCTTGATAGATCAAAAACGGAGGAACCCTACTAACTCCGATACTTCCATCAGCCTCCGCATTTAAAAACGTGCTCCTGGTCGGTCCCTCCAGTGCTGGACAGCCTTCGACCTCAAACAGTTGGTGGGTGGCATTTGTGAAATACGTCATGGCCAACAAGGTAGTTCCCGACCAGTGGACGTGGCATGACGAACCGGGCGATGTGGCCAATGACCATGGTAACTGGCAGACACTTCGTCAGCAGTACAATGCGCCCGACAACCAAGTCAACATCAACGAATACGCCGTCTTCTCGCAGCAGGTTGCGACAGGTGCAGCCTGGTGGATCTCACGTCTTGAGCGATACAACTACATCGGACTTCGCGGAAACTGGCTCAGCACATGCGGCTTGCACGACTTCATGGCATCTCTGCTAGGCAAGTCCGACGTCAACAGCTGCACTGCGGGAGGGTACGTCCCCAACGGCGAGTACCAAGTCTACAAGTATTACAACCTCAACATGACCGGCACTCGAGCCACCACGACTGGGAGCGGGGACGGGAAGCTGGACGTGTACACAACTATTGGAACAGACAAGGTTCGCGTTTTGACCGGCGTGGATATCGCTACTGGTACGTGGTATATCACCATCAACAACCTCAGCTCCGTGGGTCTCCCGACTTCAGGCAGTCTTGCTATCCATACCTATGGATTTGTTGATAATGGCCACTATGGAGGAGTCTCAGCCCCAACTGATCGAGGAGTGTATTCGCATACCTACTCTGGCAACTCCGTGACATTTCCTGTCTACCAGACGAATGTTGATAAGAACACTGCTTGGGCTTTTGAGTTTGCAGTTGGTCATTGATAGCAAGATGCAATTTGTTCAGATAGTTGACATTTGGTCCGCCATGCTCGATACTTGAAATATAGCCAAATCGAGAAAGTTTATTATAAGAAAGTTAGTGACATCGATATCTACGACAAAAAGATCAATGACGATGTCCGAAGGCGTCTGATTTATTGTCTCACCCTGTCCTGAAGTGCTTGCGGCATAAATGTTAAACACTCTTCTGGATTACTAACCTAGTCTCTAACGGTAGAATATAAGGTCACTCACTGTAACCGTACTGAGAGATAACCTGGATCAGCTCATGTATTTGGCCTGTGAGCCTAATGGTAAAGGCATGACTATGTTATAGTCCTGCAAAAAGTCCTCGGCCCTCGGCCAAAACAGAGGGACATTCGAAATCCATTTGCCTCGGTCGATATGACCTGAACCAATTGCTCTCGCAACGGCTTTTCAGCGTCGTGAATAAGATTTAAGACAACTGCACAGTCGAGGCAGAGATCTCTCCAAGGCTAGCTTCGTTGGAGGTTACGTGGTACAGGAATAACTGGCAGTGTTAACATATCAGCCATACAAGCGTTCTAAAATCTGCATACCCATCTAGCGCTGATACTACAGAAGATTCACAGTCGCTGAGCCTTATCACCGTCGCTCAAATGACTCAACCAACAGCCAAGTTGTTCAAAGGCTTCAAAAATGAATGCAGTGATCAGTCCAGATGTAACAAGAGCAGTCTCTTGGTCCGCACTACACAAAATACCTTGCTCGGATTCTTTCCACTCGACAACTTGCCCCGGTTTGAGGAATCTGCCAGTGCCAGGCGAGCGATAGATTTCAGAGAGCCGACCGTCACTGGTGTTAGAAGCAATTCTCCTCAATTGGTATTCATCCTGAGGGCACGGTTGATCACACAACCTTAACTTTATGCTTGTAAAAAATGCAATGCCATCGTCAGCCAACCAACGCTATAGGCTGATGTCTTCGATTTGGAAGTTTATAACGGTAGTCCCAATTTTCTTTATCTTATTGGCGTGGCTAGGCCTCGTAAGTGCAGCTAGCTGTAAAGGGTTTTCCAGTTCACTCCCCTATAATTTTGCCTTGGCGAATAAGCGATTGATACCTTGTTTCTTAACAAGGCTACGTACTCTGGCCCCAGTGATGCTTTGAGTGATTACTGGGACCCATTTGCGACTCATGGCTAATGCATCACTAGTTATGCTGACTAGCATCTTCGTATTAATTTTTAGGAACTTGTATATAGTGACTAAATACCAATGCCGGATTGCCGTAAATTTGGGCAAAATTGTGACGGACTTCGCATTATCACCCGACAGTGTGGAGTTTGTGAATCCTTCGGAACCCTGTCATCCTCGTATTTACAATCGGTTGTATGCTTATACTGGGGACGTCTCTTGGCATTTGTCTGGCAAGTTTTGGGAAGAAAGCTTCATGAGCATAATGATGAGATACAGCTATATGTCGTTTCTCTAATTCGTTGGTGTGTACCTTCTGGCGGTTTGTAGGATCTTGCACATTAGCGGGTATGTTAATATCTGTCAAACGCCCTATTAAGCCACGAAACACAATGTCAGCCCACTGCACGTCGATGGATCTCCTGACCCACAGCGTTTTAATCTCCTTCCCTGCACGGTCTGCATGCGCGTATTCTGTTATACTCGGGTTGTTCGCCCATATCTGAAATGCACATAAAAGCAGCAGCCTCTGCTCGATAATCCCTCATCTTCATCGACGAAGCAACAGCCAACAGCTTGGCAGCCAAAGATAGTTCACGATGGTTTCTGTTTCTCGTTTGCTTCGAGGCATTGGTCTTGCAGCTTTTGCTGCTACGGCTTGTCGAGGTGCTGTTCTTGACAGTCGATCGCTTGCTGAAAGAGCTTCCTCCAGTGATCGTTTGGTGTTCGCCCACTTCATGGTATGCATTTTACCCTCACGTTCAAACTCAATTAACATCACCAGATTGGGATTGTTGGCAACAGACAAAGCTCTGCCGATTATGACGATGATATGAAGCGCGCAAAGTCCGCTGGCATTGACGCCTTTGCCCTCAATATCGGCACCGATGATTATACGGACGCACAGCTCGGCTACGCGTATGACTCTGCCAACAACAATGGCATGAAGGTTTTCATCTCATTCGACTTTCATTTCTGGTCAGTAGGCGATGCAGCCGCTGTCGGCCAGAAGGTCAAAAAGTATGCCGACCACCCAGGTCAGCTGCGCATCGACAACAAAGTTTTTGTGTCTAGTTTTGCAGGAGATGGCCTCGATGCAAATGCTGTCAGAAGTGCTTCTGGCTCTAATATCTTCTTCGTCCCTAATTTTACTCCCTGGGGAGGCTCTACAAACGGTATCGACGGTGCTCTAAACTGGATGGGCTGGCCAAACGATGGCAATAACAAGGCGCCCAAGGATGGAAAGAGTGTCAGTGTCGCCGATGGTGACACGAGTTACACGAACTGGCTTGGAAATAAAAAGTACATGGCTCGTGAGTATCCCTCCTCTACATACTAATGTAGGTGACTAACTTATAACTAGCAATCTCGCCCTGGTTCTTTACTCACTATGGGCCTGAGGTCGACTGGTCCAAGGTTAGTTCTTTTTCTTCATGAACATGGTCAGCCAAGAGACTAACTTTACCAGAACTGGGTCTTCCCGAGCGGCTCACTCATCTTCGACCGTTGGAACCAGGTTCTGCAAAAGGGCTTCCCTATGGTTGAAATCCTGACCTGGAACGACTACGGCGAGTCTCACTATATCGGACCCCTCAAAAACAAACACACCGACGACGGGGCATCCAAATGGTCCAACGATATGCCTCACAACGGTTGGCTCGACCTCTCCAAACCTTTCATCGCTGCATACAAGAACAAGGACACCAACGTGGCCAAGTATATTGAAAAGGACCAAATCATCTACTGGTATCGCCGCAACCTGAAGAGTCTCAACTGCGATGCCACTGATACGACCTCTGGTAGAGCTCCACCCAAGCCTAACGAGAATTATTTCCAGGGTCGTCCCGACGGATGGCAGTCTATGGAAGACGCTGTATACGTTGTGAGTCTGCTCAAGTCTGCTGGAACTGTCATCATCAAATCAGGAAGCAACACGGTGACGAAAGAGGTCCCTGCTGGAGCGACCCTCATCAAGGTCGACGCCAACCTTGGCAAGCAGACATTCACTCTCAAGCGTGGCAGCACCAACGTCTTGTCTGATACCTCTCTTATGGACATCACAGCTGTCTGTCCCTGCGGCTTGTACAACTTTAATGCCTATGTTGGTACTGTCGCCGCCGGCTTCTCTGACCCTCTCGACGGCAGTGGGCTCGCGTCTTTGACTGTTGGTCTGCACGTCACAACTTGTCAGCCTAAGCCTTCTCTCGGAACCAACCCTGCCTCTCCGACACAGCCAAATGATCCCCCCACAGTGACTAATCCAGGGAACGGCAATGCTTGTGTTGAAGGGGCTGTAGCGGACGGTCAAAGTGGTAACTATCTTGGTCTCTGTCAGTTCACTTGTGGCTATAATTACTGTCCTCCAGATCAGTGTAAGTGTATCAGATATGGAACAGCTGTGTCGCCTCCAGCCTCGAATGGTCGTGAGGGTTGCCCTGCCTCTGGTCTTGATGATAGTTATAAGGGACTGTGCAGTTATACTTGTAACCATGGATACTGTCCTGATACAGCTTGCAGATATTGCTAAGAACACAATCTGTACCTGCCTATAATAATGCTACTAAAACCTGTATCTACTTCTGTTATTATATAGATATTTATTTTAAATAGTGTATCTATAAGGATATTGGAGTCATCTCGCAAGACACTGCATCGTCTAATCATCCAGTGGCAAGGTTACGACTACGATTCTGAGATTTAGGAATCGAATTCTACAACGTTGGGCTCTTTGAAGGACTTTCCGATTCCTGGTGATATCGATGCGGTGATCAGCGCCCTGCATTGCAACAGCCTACGATTGGAAGACGTCCTTCCTTACACTTTAAGACGTCCTTTACTTCAATAAGGGCTAGTCCAATTCTTTAAAACATGGGAAGAAGTTATAGGAACTTTATTGGAAGAGCTTCTTATCCCTTATTATATATCGGTACCATGTTGAATGAGGACGCGAATTAGTCTGGGAAATACCGGTAAAGGGTGAAATTGCACAAAAGGACTTTGAAATGACATGTCAACAAGATAATGGGCTCCAGATTTCTTTCTTCCAGCTCTAGGATACATGTACTAGACGAAGCGGTTTCTAAGGAACAGTGACTTAGTCTCCGTAGTCCTTAATTACAGTATTCTTAAATCCATCCCAAGATGCACGCGATACTCTTACTCTCCACTCGGCGGTTGCAAGACAGCAGACAACGGCTGCGGGATGCCAAACTGCGGCGAGTTATTCGATGTGAAGGTAACTTTCTGTGCGAGAGTAAATCTGTCGGTACCGCAGGATCCCTTGGGGTTGCTCGTGGCATGAAAGGCATTCTTGAATAAGATTAGTATATACGAGAAACTTCTTCGAGAGGCACTACTGACCCAGGTTTCGTGTCCATCCGGAGACGTAAAGAAACAGTTATGACCGGTTCCATAGTTGCCATTGGCTTGCGAGAATACAGGACCTTTCTTATCCCATGATGAAGCCTGTAATGGATCGCCACCGTTGTAGTGCAGTAACCCGAGCGAATAGTTGGGTGTTCCGCAGTATGAAGCTGAGTAAGAGAGCCAGATTTGTCCATTGTGATAGAGAGGCTGACACGTTAGTATTCGACAAGCTTTGCGACGATCAGCTCAAACTCACATGAGGCGCCTCGTTGACAGCGGTAATACTGTTCGGATTCGAGTTGGTTGTGTTTTTCTCCCAGGGCTGATCAGGAACAGAAATAACATGCCAACCATCAACGGTCCATTTCGTTGTATCGAGTTTTGTAATAGCAATAGACTGTAGCTCGTCCTTGTTAATAATGCTCAACACATGATACCTTCCCTTTCCTGGGATCTCAAGATATGTCCCGTCAATGCTGAAGGCAAAATCCGACTTGGGACCACCTTGTGAGCCAGTGGGAGGGACTAAATCTGCCAAGTGCGTGTAGGTGCAGTCGAATGGGGTTGCCTTATTGCATCCTCTAAGAACGCGAGTGTGGCAGCTATCGCAACAGGGGAGGGATGAGTCGCAGCTTGAGTAGAACATGTGCCACACGTTATCAATGCGGTGGATTTCTGGAGCCCACATATTGGCATTGCGAGTGGTGTTCTTGTCGGTCCATATCGTCTTCGTTTCTCCATTCAACAGACCTCCCAGTGTCATGGATCGCGTAATCTCTATGTGATCATAGGAAGTGTATGTTCTGGAATCCACGTCAATCTTAAGCTCATGGTTCGTGGCTTCAATGATTCTAAATCATGCCATTGCCTTTGAGGTCTGAGGGTATGACTTACAAATGATAGAAGCCGTTTGCAAAGACAACAGAAGGATCTGGACCAGGTTTCCGGATAGGATTATGGAAAGCCTCAACCCTAGCAGCATAAAGGGTGCCCAGGAGGACTCCAAAGTTGAGAAGGAAATTCATTGTTAAGTTTAAGTGAAGGTGATGGTGCTGATGGGCAGTTTATCAGGAGACGCTTGAGTATATATACCCCAGGCAATGGCTAGTGTGTCAACATCTCCCGTTTTTAAGCTTTCTATTAAACGCGATGATCATTAAGCTTTTCGGAGTTTCGGTGCAGTTACACAACGCTTTGGTGCAGGGATTGGTCTTCTTCTGGCGACCTCGGATCGTCATTTTAGAAGATAAAATTATTTTATTGGAGCGCCAATTGACTGTTCCCCCGCAATTGCTCACGCGGGGTCTCCATGGGGACTAGGGTTGAGGTTACGAGCCAGATCGACAAGGTCTAAATTACAAATGGAGTTGATTCCCATAATAGCCAAGTTTACCATCTTGGTCTGTTAACCGCGCCATTAATATACTATCGTCTGTCAGTAGAGGGCCATTTTTAATGTGCATTTACGCTCTTGCCAGTGCGCGAAATCTATTGCTTGTGCAATGAATACAGTCCGCTCTCGGAAAGATAAACGCGAGACAGATGAACTTTTAGCTCACAAAGACTCTCAATGATGGAAAATCGCGAGTTCTTTGTTGCTATATCTAGACTTTTTAGTATCCGAGTTAACAATAGACTTAGTAGCTATTTTAAAGTAGCTCTTTAAATGTTATAACCATTGCTTTAACTATATAATTAAGGATATAAAATAGATCATGTCTTATTTTATAATTATATAGTATAAGATCCCATTTTGCGCAGGGGAATTCGGCGATAAAAGATTGTATCGATCTCCTGATAAGTTCGTCCTTTGAGCTCGGGGATATAGAACACACAGACAACAGAAGCAAACGCCGAGAGTCCACCAAAGATGAAGCCGACTTTGCCGCCAAGATTCTAAAATAATTAGATTTCAGTCGTGTAAGGACAGGGCAGAACTTACACCAGCGTCAGGATTGACCATATATGGAACGGCAAAAAACATGATGATACCAAAGATAGCCTGAGTTGCAGTGGCCAAAGCGGTTGTTCGCGCCCTCTGGGATAGGGAAGAAACCTCTCCCAGTAGAACAAATGCCACCGCACCGATTGTGAGGAAATACACAAAAGAGAAGACAACGGTTAAAGAAGACATAGCCCACTTGGCGGCGCCTGTTGGTACTACATCGAGAATCCCGATGAGAAGAAGAATGGTTGTGCAGGCAAACATTCCCGTGACAAAGATAGGGCGGCGGCCAAAGCGGTTCACAATAAACCACGAGCAGATATTGCCAGCTACACCACAGGCGGTAACACCAACACCGAGGTTCAGAGACTTTCGCGTATCGAGTCCAGCTAATTGGAAAAAGTAGGTGGAGAAGCTGAGGACGAAAATGATACCGACGGCATGTTGGCAAGCAAAGACACCGATAGAAATAAGTGTACGAACTCTGTCGGTGCCCTTGAATGCTGAGATGTAGGAAGGACTAGCCATGGTAGCCTCCTCTTCGACCGTTTGCTGAATGGCTTGAAGCTTTTCCAGTGCCTCGAATTCAGATCCATACAGATCTTGGAGAACAACTCTGGCCTCTTCTGTCTTTCCAGCTCGTACAAGGTACCACGGCGACTCTGGAGAGAGAAAGCTACCGATGAAAAGGAAGACAGAGAAGATTAGCTGCGCCAGGAATGGCCCTCGGAAAGCCCAAACATCGTCTCTGTTACCAAAACCCGAAGTCACCGAGTTCGAAATCAGCTGACCGACGGCAATAGCAAGGTTGACACCAGCGGTAGAGAGACCACGCAAGACAGTCGGGGCGATCTCGGAGCAGGTGATAGGGCCCAGCGTCAAGTAAAAGCCGACTCCAACGCCAAGGATAAGCTTGCTGACTACAAAAGCAGCTCGGGTGGAAGAAAAAGACTCCCCCATGATGCCTCCAGTGACAACAAGGACGCCCAAAGTAAGACTCTTCTTGCGACCCATTCTATCAGAGATGGCGCTGCAAGCAAAGCCTCCAAAGAACTGACCAACAGAAGAGACAATGTTGAAGGCTGTCAACCAGTCCGCGGGGATCACCCAGTCACCATTGAGCTCGTGACTTTATCATGGATTAGAAATAACATTTTTGGAGGGGTGAAATGGTGACTTACCCATAGTACTTGCGAAAGGCCGGAACACCTACCATAGCACCGTTGACCTGGGTATCAAACCCCCCTAGTAAGACAAGTCAGCCTTTTACAGTGCATCGTCAGATGAGTGAAAACTCACAACCCACTGCACACATGCACCAGAAGAAGGACCACCAGATGATCTTGGGGTGCTTTCGAGCGATATCTTTGAAGGTCAGATTGTGTTCATTGGCATTGGCCACCTGGATCTGATCAAGGATATGTTTGTCAGAGACTGCCATGTGCTCAACGGTGGCGTCATTGTCGCTCAAGGTGCTTTTCTGGTCGAGTACATGGTGATTGGTGGTGGCCATGGCGAGATCGATGTTCTATTGTCAAATTCCAGTCAGTAGAGTAGTTGGTGATGGTGTTGACAATGATTCAGAGGGGAACAGAAAGAAGAGAGACGTGCTCCTTGCGTCTTATATCATTTTTCCATCCAACCGGTGTCTGGCGACTTTGACGCCATGATGTGTTGCTATCTGCTTGCAACCCAGGCCATTTCCAAGCCAAGTCTGGGGAAAGATTGGTCTAATCCGCGGGGTTGCTAGGAAAGTCTTAGACTCATTCCCCATGCGGGGAAGAAGGGCGTAACTAGGCGAAAACTGGTATGGCACCATGACTTCTCCATGTCGGATTTAGACCCGATACTCCGCTAGTTTCTCGATGCCTTTTTTCTGCTAAATAAAGAGAAATCATTACTCGATATCAGTCGTGTCTCTTTTAGCATCTTCACCCGACATTCCGCTGCCCTTTTTTTATCTTTTACTCAACGCTATGGCATCTCAATCTCGCCGTCGTATAGACAGTCACCGTGCTTCCATCAGCCGCCCTGGCTCTACGTACGCTAGAAAACGAGCCATCAAGGCATGCCAGGTATGTCGCGCGCGGAGAACAAAATGCGACCAGCAACGGCCGGCCTGTTCATTCTGCGTAAAAGCGGGTGTGGAGTGTGTTTTCGAACCCGACACCAATGTGACGTTCGATCAAGCGAGTCTTGCCATCATAGACCGGCTCGACCGACTTGAGCGTAAGATAGACAACCAGTCGAGGCCCCAGCCAGCGTTCCTTGGGACCCAGTATGATGACAGTATTCCTGAGACCAGTGACGGCTTATCGCCCGACCCAAATGTTATTCACAAAACTCTTTTCCCTACTACGATCGACAAAGTCCTCCAATGGAGTGTCTTCAGAGACGTCCAGTTACCAACCCTTGCATCTCATACACGCCAATCCCCTGGGTCACAGTCTGAATGCAGCAATGCGCAGAGACCATGGGTGGATGAAATCACCGACCGGGCATCATGCGAGAGATGGCTCAGCAGCTTCTTCGCCCATATCCACGTCAAAAATCCAATATTGGACGAGGAAGAAACACGAAGGCTCGTCTCCAGGTTGTGCGCACAGGGACTCGACTGGAGCATTGAATCCGGTCTGGCGCTTCTGGTTTGCGCCAACGGAGCCATTGCCCGCCCGCTCGGGGAGTCTCTCCCTCTATCACACCCAGACCGACAAATGGCGATTTCTCTCCTCGACGCAGCACAGAGAAGACTTGGTGGCGGCTTAGGTCCCGCGGGACTTATACATGCCCAGTGCGCCTTTCTATCAGGCGTCCTTCTCATGTCACTAATACGACCTATCGAGGCTTGGACAACATTTGTACACGGTTTGGCGATTTGCCAGACGCTTCCTTACGTCCGACAAATCGACCATGCCTCGGGCCAGACAAGTCCCCAGGAGACTTCAGAACAGAGTGTCTTGTGGTCGTGCTGGAAGTCTGAACAGGAGCTCAGGTTCGAACTAGGCATGTCTAGCCCTGCTGGACTAGCTGATGACCCCCCCGAGCTATTTCCCAAGCCTCCGGATGGATGCGAAGGTGATGTTGAGCGAGCATGGTATTTTTACCTGTCCGAGATAGCTCTCTGGCGAATTGAGGTCAATGCTCGAAGATTAATGGGCCAGCTCCAGTATGGAAGCCGGCGGTCGCTTTCAAGCGCTTTGAGAGAGATTGGAAAAGATACATCACATCAACTTGGGGCGTGGCAAGCCTCGCTACCACCGCTCGTCAGTATCGAAAGTGAATCGTCTCCTCATGGAGGTGCCGAAGACGATGTGATCCGATTTGTACTGCGCGGGCGCATCACTTATATCCGCGAGCTTGTTTCCTGGCCGTTTATGCATGTTGCTCTTAATGAACCAGTAGATCAGGAGTTCGATGAGCATGATACTTCTGCAGCACTGGCTTATCACCACCAAAGGCTGTTAGTTAACGCACCGGGTTACTACCATCGTCACCACGGGACTTGGCTCATGTTGCGAAGCTCAGCAAGAAGCGCATGCATACTCCTTGGGTTTGCACGCTTGCACCCCGGATCTACCCTTTTGCCTTTGGGTTGGAAGGACGCAGTCTTGGATACTTTGAAAATGGTCGAATACTGGAGCCTTGAGGCCGACGGAATGCATCCGGTGTTACAAACAATGAAATGGCTTGTCCAAGTCGTGTAATAATCCTACCATTATTTGTGGCACGTAGTGCGTTGAAGTCAATTTTTAAATCAATTTATTTGCTCATTATACAAATTGTGCGCTTCAAAATAGCTTACAAACCTTGCGAATTGCTTCCTTGTCCCCAGCGTGTCCAGCAACCTCAATCTCAACGGAACTAACCAACAAGCAGAATTTTCCATTGACCCATCGCTCAATTGGCCGCAGGGATGCTTCAATACATATTCGTCTCGACTCTCTCGATTGCAAGTAAACACTCCCGAAACCAAGCAAGACCCGATGCGGGAAGTCTACCATCTTGGGATACCCATACACTTGGGCAACGTGATGGCCGGATCTCAGACCTATGTTTTCCACATCCAAAGCGACATGGATAATCCTCTGTTCTGTCAAATACACGCATTCAAGGTTTCTGAATTGAAATTTGGTATAGGACAGCCCATAGCCGAGTGGAAATGCCGCATCAACTCCAAGCTTATCGAGCAAAGCTTGGCCGTACCAACGATCATATTTAATACTTGATGCTTCGATGTCAAGTTCAGGGAGGTGACTCTCATCCTGAGGGATAGAGAATGGTAATCTACCTCCAGTATCAACACGTCCAAGCAAGACGTCTGCGAGTGCATGGCCACCTTCTGCCCCAGCGTACCAACTGACCAAGATAGCAGGTGCTTTGCCTTTCCATTCCTCCATTATGACAGCACCGGCACAAACAAGCACGACGATCGTATGTGAGTTGACAGACGCCACGGCATTGATAACTTGAACGTCTCGAGATCTTAACCGCAGAGACCGTCGGTCGCCACCAGCACCAACTTCCAAAGCCGATTCTTGTTTTCCTTGGGCTGGATTTCCCTGTACAATCGACAACATCTCTTCCTCGCCAGGATTCCTCGTTCGAGGAAATAGTTCAGACAAGCAAGGGTCGTTCTGGAGAGAAGGCACTACATATTCGCCCTCATCGCCGGCGTCGTAGCCTACGATAACAACAGCAACATCTGCTTGCTTGGCGGCTTCTCGAGCGGCTTCTGGATCGTCATTATCTTCAAGAATGACTTCGGCGCCTGGAACTTCGCTCTTGAGCCCTTGGTAGGGAGTAACGATGGTCGGTGAAAAAACCTGCGAGGATCCCTTGTCCCCGGTGTTGGGCTTGTTTGCCAGACGACCAACAACAGCTAAGCGAGATAGAGTTTCTGTCTTGAGTGGCAGGATCGGATTGCCATTGATGAGATCATTCTTAAGAAGCACCATTGATCGTCCTGCAACCTCTCTGGCGAGCTGTCGATGTTCTTCACAGAAGACAACCGACTCATCAGGCGCCTCCTGGACAAGAAGAGAGCCAAATTCGAGCTTCGTGCGCAGAATGTTCATGGCTGCTTTGCCGACATCCACCGAGGATATTCCACCACTCTTCAGTGCATCATTCAGATGCATTGCCCGTTGTTGCGCAAAAGGAGCTTCGATATCCAAGCCATTCTTAAGAGAAATCGCAGCGTCTCGTAGACCGAAAATGAAATCTGACATGACGAATCCGGCGAAATTCCACTGGTCGCGCAGGATTTCTGTAAGCAATAGCCTGCTCTGCCCAGCCCACTCTCCGTTGACCGAGTTGTACGAAGACATGACCGATGCTACGCCGGATTCGATAACTCTCTTGAAGTGAGCAAGGTATACTTCATGAAGTACGTCTTCGTCCACTTGCACATCAACCCGAAATCGAGCGTTCTCTATTGAGTTCAGAGCAAAATGCTTGACGCATGCCATGATATGATTTTGGACGCCCTGGGTCAGTGCAGTGCCAAATTCACCCAACAAGATCGGGTCTTCTCCGTATGTCTCCTGGATGCGACCCCACGCTGGATGACGCGGGAGATTGATGCATACTCCGGCGAAGAGATTGGCGCCTTGCGCTTTGCCTTCAAGTCCAATAGCATTACCAACACGCCGTTCAAGATCGATATCCCAGGTTGCACCGCGTGCCATGGCAATTGGAAAGGCTGTCGACGAGCCCATAACAATTCCCCTGGGCCCATCGGTAAACTTGACTCCCGGGATGTTGAGACGAGGGATCGCGCCCATGACAAATGGTCTGCGGTTATAACGATCGCAGAGTATTTCCCGCAGACCTTCCCAAAAAGGCACGTCTCCATCCAAGAGATGCAAACGCTCGGCGGATGACATTTCTGCTAGTAGGCGGATAGCAACAGCTGAAGAATCTTGGCCTTGCTCGACTTCCCTGACGGCTTTGTCGAAGGTCAGAGGCTGGGAGATCTCATGATCATGAGCCTGGTGTTGATGCGCCTGAATCGTTAGGATCGCGCTCTTCATAGTGATTGGTCTGCAAAAAATGATCTAAGGTAGGATGTATGCGGTATGTGTGCGAAATGGTTGAAAAGAGGGCATCGGTTTCTTGAAGTGAGAAAGAAATATGAAGGTCTGTTGTGCGAAACCACTCTACAGTAGAATAATACGAGAATCACTCGTCATGCCATATTTTGGTCGCGGAGTATCGGGCCATGTCCGATGCCAATCTGGGCGAAGTCCAATCTGCGGAGTGTCGGGTCAAACACCGAAGGCCATCAGCTGATGATGAGCAAGGACAGACGCACAGACACCAGTTACCCCAGACATTCACCTTGCATGAATGATGCTACTCCGTACGAATTACCCCATCCTTCTGTCTAATAACCTCAATACATTATTTGGCTAAATTCAGAAAGCCACTGGCAGTTGCGCCATTGGTGCGTTTGGGTCATCTTTGATCGTCTTTTCGGATACTTTGTTGGATATGGTATTGGTGCCTGAAGTTATATTTCGTTCAGAGGTACTCATTGTGCTCAATTTTGAGTATATAAGACTTCTATCGTTCTTTACCTTTTATCTCATGAACTGATTCTTTACCCAGATACCAAGCAATAACAAAGCTCCCCTCCATTTACTTTTATCAAACATGATGAGATCTCTTCTTCTTAGCTTTGCCTGCTTGGCCACCACTTATGCTGCGGCACTCGAGAAACGTGCCCCTACTCCTTTCTCCAACTTCACCAAGAACGAATTCTTCAAACCTGCGGCTGATGCTCAGCTCTGGGGTACACTCTATGCTCGGTCACTCCAACTGCCTGACGAGTCCCTGCTTATGACCTGGGAAAATTACCCAGCTGAGTCCAAAGAATACCCTGTCAATCGTATGCCTTTTGAAATATGTGTGTTTAGATGTTGCAGAGGTTAACACTTTGATAGACCCGATCTACAAGTCGGTCGATGGAGGCGCAACTTGGTCCAATTTCAGTGCCGTTAAAGACACACAGAACGGTTGGGGCATGCGCTTCCAGCCATTCCTGTACACACTCCCCACCGATTTCGGTGGCTATGCTAAGGGCACTATACTCGCAGCTGGTGTTTCGACTCCTGAAAGCCTGGAAGGTGGTGTTTACATTGATGTTTACGCCAGCAAAGACAGCGCAAAGACTTGGGAATTTGTGTCTCATATTGCATATGGCGATGGACCCAACACAGTTCAAAATGGCAATAAAGCGCTATGGGAGCCCTTCTTCTTGATGTATGGCGGAAAACTGGTCTGTTATTACTCTGACCAGCGTGACCCGAACCATGCGCAGAAGCTCGTTCACACCACCACCACCGACCTCAAGAACTGGTCAGACATTGTCGACGATGAGGCTGAAAGTAACTATGAAGCTCGCCCCGGTATGACCACTGTGGCTCACATCGAGAGTACTGATAAGTGGATCATGACTTGGGAACGCTGCGGCGTGGATTCCTGCAGAATCTATTACAAAATCTCCGATAGCCCTCTTACATTTGGGCCTATCCCCGGTACCAGGCTCCAAGCCACCGACGGTAGTTTGTTCACTAGTGGACCATACGTGACTTGGATTCGTAACCCTTATACCAGCGACGGCTCTGGTATCATTATCATCAGCACCACTTCTTCCGAGAACCTTCTGATTCAAGGTGATAATCCAGCCGAAGGAAAGTGGAAAAAGGTCGATATTAACCACTGGTCTGCCTACTCTCGGAGTGTCAGAGAGATTACTATCAAGGGAACTAAGCGACTACTACTCGGTAACGGTGGCAACTTTGGAGATAAGAAGTATAATGGGATTGCTGATGCTGTGGTTCCTATCCCAAAGCTCTGAACTCACGGAGCGGCGTGTTAACATCCGCAGAGGCTGAATAGGAATATGGAGATGAGATCAAGGGTATTGAATAGCATTACTTTTAAAATTTAAGTCTCGACTCAGTGCAGAATAGTAAGCGATATGCGTTCACCTCAACCCTTGTCTCTTTAAGTCTTCCTGGCTATTACTACTCGGAGATTAGATGGGGGATTTATACGCGGTGAGCTTCGCGACGATGAGCCGCCCAGCAGGAACATCAATTTACTGCCCTTTGCCTGCATCTCGATAGGAATAGAAGCGAAATTCGTGTTACTGAGGGTTTAGTCAATGTCGTTACACGTATCTGCTAGCTACCTAGACAGAATGAATCCATAAATGATGCTGCCGTTCACTAGCTCAGTCGTTCAAATGTTACTGGTAATGTATGTGTTCTAGTAAGCTGGAAATAAGCCATCCTTCACAATCGCTGCTGACCTCTGTGACTCATGACACTGGCAGGCGGCTACTACACAATGTTGATTGGTTCCAAAGCAGAAAATTAGTTGACTGTCAGATTCCAATACAGCGCAATTGGCTATCAGGGGATTTCAAAGTGGGGTTGAATCTCTTGTAAGATTTTAGCAGCGCAGTCTCTAAAAGCTTCAGCTGTTTACATATGTCACGGAGAAATAGCGTTCTTGAGTATCGCCCGCGTGTTTGTTCTCTATACCATTACTTTCTCAAAGCCAAAACAGCAGGATGATTCCCTTTCCAAAGTCAGTAATTACTGGCAATGCTACAACTGAAGTCAGGGGCCTTGAAACAACTAACTCAATCGACTCGTCGCTCTCTTGCGAAGAGTATATCCTTGACGTTGGTAATCAACGAGATGGAGCTGTTTCCATACGCGGAGGCTCGCCTAGCGGGATATTCTATGGTCTACAGACATTCAAGCAACTCTTACCTCCCTCGTCTCTTCGGCATACAAAGAGCGCCGGGGAAGGTTTGTGGGCACTTTCCACGCAAACTATTCACGATACCCCGCGCTTTGCTTGGCGAGGGGTCATGCTCGATGTCGCTCGCCACTTCATGCCTTTGCCTGACCTACTGCGGTTTATCGATCTCTTAGCTTTTCATAAGCTCAACGTGCTGCATCTACATCTCACTGATGATCAAGGATGGAGACTGTCTGTTGCCAAATGGCCCAAGTTAACCACTGTAGCGTGTTGGAGAAAGAGAACCATGCAAGGCGCTCCGCCACATGGCAAGCTAGATTCGCGCCCACATGGTGGTTACTACTCCAGGGAGGACCTTGAGGAACTCGTCGCTTTTGCCACCGAGAGACATATAAGGGTCGTGCCCGAGATTGATATGCCGGGGCACATTCAAGCAGCTGTTGCAGCCTATCCTGAACTTGGAAATGGCGCGCAGGTTGTTGTGATGGAGGAATGGGGTATTTCCAAACATGTGCTTAATATGTCAGATAAGGCTTTGGAATTTTGCAAAGATGTACTGGATACAGTTTGCGACATATTCCCTGGCGAATTCATTGGCATTGGCGGTGACGAGTGTCCTCACGATGAGTGGAAGGCCAATCCGAATATCCAAAGCAAGATGAAGCAATTGGGATTGGCAGACGAAGCGGCTTTACATGAGTGGTTTATTGGACAGATGGCGGCGCATTTGCACGTCCATGGTCGTCGTCCGTACGGTTGGGATGAACTGATGGGATGTGGGGACAAAGTTCCCAAAGATGTGCTCATCGCAGCCTGGCGAGGGATTGAACCAACAGAGATCGCAGCCAAAAGAGGGTTCGAAGTTATTGCGTGTCCAGACATGAAATGTTATTTGGACTATCGGCAGTCAGAGGATAAAAACGAGCCGACGCCAGTGGGAGTTGTGCTGTCACTCGAAGACATCTACAACTTCGATCCTGTACCAGAGGGATTGACACAGGATGAGAAGAAGAAAGTGATGGGAACTCAGGTCAATGTATGGGCTGAGCACATGGAGAGTGCGTCTCGTGTTAACTATATGGTTTTCCCTCGCTTGTGTGCATTTGCAGAGGTTGCCTGGGGCAAGGCAGACAACCATTCGGACATTGGTGACTTCAAAGTCCGACTGGAACAGCATCTACCAAGGCTGGAAGCGCTTGGTGTCAATTATCGACCATTAAGTGGCCCTAGACCATGGAATGCTCGCCCTGATGCACCAGGGAAGCCGCGGAGTATGCAGCACCGGGTAGAAAAGCAGCCAAGATTTATTGCAGATTTGCTACAGTAATACTATCTTCCTTGAGAGAGCTTGGCGGGAAAAGAACTCTCATCCAGGTTGAACCGGGCAAGAGTCTGTTGGGCTACAGTAGCTTGATTAGCTAGTCCTTTGATCCACGTAGACCATCCCGGTAAGATTGCGGGCGGTAATTCGCTAACTCCTCCAATCTCTGTTAGGTGTCTTATAGAATTCATTATCTGGGGTCTCATAATATCGAGATAAGAACAAAAATGATCTACGCATCATAATTAAGAAAATATGATGTTTGATAGATAGAGAAATCTCGAACTGCTTGGTTCCACATTCAGTTCTTTTTAAATTAGGCCTAAGCGGTATTCAATAGCGTTGAGGCTTTTCGCGCTAAACCTTCAGCCATAAGAAACTACCAGACACTATTGGTTTTAGAACGGTCTCGCCAAATTGGCCCCTTGAGATAAAGGAGCAAATAAGCATAAAGGGTTCTAATTCCCCTTTGTTAGCACTTCTTCCCCTTTGACTTTTCGGATTTGATTTCGATTTAATTCTTCCGCTCTTTAACGGCAGTTATGCATCTGGCGCTTCTCTTGTCCCTGGCCTTTGGGCTTGAGTCTGTAGTCGCTGGTCCTTGCAAGCCAAACTCTTTCAGTAAGCTGATTCATGACGCTACTTGCTCAAGTTACTAATAACCCAAATTAGCTACCGCAACTACTGCTACCACCACAGAAAGTCTGGGACTATCCTCAACATTGTCGACAGATGCCACGAGAGCAACCGAGCAGTCGGACTCAACGACAACAACCACTCTCGCGATTTCTGACTCCACTTTCTCTTCAACCTTTAGCTCTTCAGCGCCATTATCGGATACGACGGTTTCACGCGAGCAGACTGAGTTGACAGGAACAACGACGATCGCAGTCTCTGAGTCTACCTCTGTAGCTGATCTTGGGTCTACGACCTCGGTCGCATCGTCTGATATTTCTGTAACAACATCAACTGAGGTCACTAGTACAGCGGTATCTGATTCATCTATTTCAACATCTGTTCTTTCGACGTCGGATGAATTGACATCTTCGGTCGATGTTTCGGTCACAACATCAGCCCCCGCTTCAACAAGCACAACCATAGAGTCTGCTGGGACTACAGAGTCTACCACGACAGAAGAGTCTACCACTGACTCCACGATTTCCTCAACACAGATCTCTACTGATACAACACTAGAGGCAACAGCGACTACAACCACCGAAGCACCAACCTCCACCACAACTATTGACGAAGTCTCTACAACAACCACTCTCCTGCCTATTCCGACACTGTTCACGTTGTCTGCTGAAGGTGGCCCAGCAGATGGCTTGGTTATACATGGAAATGGTCTGCCAGAGTACTCTGTGTGGATAGGTGCTTTCTTGACTTGGCCAACTGGTCTGTTTAAATACGAAGAGGGTACCGGTCATGTATCGGTTGATGGAAACCCTTTATGCGCTTTATCCTACCAGGGAAACTTCGACTTTGTTTCAGTCATAGTCTGTCCCACGACTTTGCTGTTCTACCACGCGCCCTTGGTCTGTGATCGACCGACTGACGGCAGCCTCAAGTGTAGCGTGGCTGTGAAGCTTTACAACTGTGTCATAGGCAACGGCGGAACTCGTACTTGCACGACTACAGATGCTTCTTGGAGTAATATGTATTCTTCTGCGCCTCTATACGCGTCGAGCGGAACTTATTATCAGCTCCGGTTTGCCGCTGCTGACTGGGCCCATGATAGTCAGGTATCCCCAATTGGTCTAACGGTCTCGCCTGTGTAAATCTAGGATACCTTTTACCCTTAGTTACTGGCTGTTGGCAGGATATAACAGCCTAGGAGAAGGATAATAGTTTGAGGCTTGGAAAAATTCCTCATCTTTATAAACAAGGACGACGAAACAGACATCTAGCCATATCAATACGCATTATTTAGATGACGCAAAGGGTCTTCTTGGGTCGGCAAAACCAAAACAGAATTAATTATAATACTTATTACTTATAAATCTCTCGTTCAGTTGTCGCACGACATTCTTTTGCTTGACGTCTCTTAAGCCTCACAAACAATTCTGACTGCTTCCAAAACCAGGCGACATGTAGATGCCACTCTGGCTGCTCTGAAGCCCACTCAATATCGAAATGACGAAAGAGCTGCGGAATTAACTTGCCCATCTCCATGAGGGATATACTTTTACCGATGCAAGTTCGAGAACCGTGTCCAAGCTGCGAAGGGAAGACTTGAAGTTAGTTGTTGTTCATCAATACGTGAGATGACGTACCGCAATAAAGGTGCGATCCATGAGACTCAGCTGCTCGGCGGAAGCCTCCAGCCATCTTTCAGGTCGAAATATCTGGGCGTCGTTACCAAAAACGTCCTTGTTCATATGCATTAATGGCGCCGAAGTGCTGATATTAGTGCCGGCTGGAAGATTGTAGCCACAGATTTCTGCACCTTCTTTAGGTATATATCTCTCCAAAGGGAATCCTACGGCAGGATGCATGTGCATAGCCTCTTTTAATGTAGCTTGACTATTGAGTTTGTCAGTATCCTCTAGGGCAATGGGGATTCAAATGGTTGGTTCACAAGTATGGCAGTTCTAACGACTCTTGATATGTCATATACTCTGAGAGTTGGCCAGCCTGAATAGCCTTGTCAATTTCTCTTTGCACTTTCTTGTAGACCTGTGGAGTTCTGATGACGAAATAAACTACAGCATGCAGGGATATACCTGTGGTTTTACTCCCTGCGAGACTGCATCGAGATTAGTAACAGGAATATAAGAAAGGCGACGAATAAGTACGCACAGATTGTTCGAGAGATGATTTATTATGTCTCTGTGGGTTATTTTGTCAGTCTTGTCTTGTTGTTCTTGTAGCTGGGATAGAAAATCTGTCCTGGAAGGTTCTTTTGGACTGCGATCATATTTATCTAGTTCTTTCTTGGTGATCTTCAAGAGCTCTGATGCCAGCACTACACCAGGTGAAACACCCCGGAGATGGAGAAGGGGGTCATATTTTCAAGAACTTATCCATTGTGTCAGGCCAATAGCTTTCCCTGATCCAGGAATTGGCATATAATCTGTCGAACAGTGCAACCAACCAATCGGACTGTCCAATATTCTTGACGAATTCGAGGCCATGGTTGATCTTACTGATTTCGTCGACATCCTGCCTCTTTTCTAGGAACCCGAAACGCCGTTGAAACGTGATGCTACCGAAAACATCAAAAGCATACCACTGCAGCCAATCTGCCAGGTCTAACCTCTGACCTTCGAGATCGTGTATCGCATTCAGGAAGATGGCGCTTCATTCGTCGACATACACCTAGAAATTGCGCATATTCGTCATGTAGAATATCTGCGCCACTGAACCCTCCAACGCCTTGTGTATGTTGGGGTTTCGCTCCTTGACCATGCTGTCCACTCATCGCCCTTGGTACATTAAGGGCATTGTCGTGTAAATGGGGCCTCAGAGGGGCAAGAAAACACCGAACCCTCTTTAGCATAGGGTTTCAAAATAAACTTAGTAAAGAGTCCCCTAAACTTAGACTAGATTTACCTAAGCATTCTTATCGCCTAGAGTCAAGGTCCGGTGCGCACAATAGGGCCATGCTTTCCGTGCAACATTTGATACTGCCGAGGGGAATCACCTTTGTAAACGAGACTTGGCCGATACAGGGTCGTGTATCTAGCGAGCCATGGCCCAGGGATATGTCGGAGGCCAGCTCGAAATGTCAACCTGATGAGATGAAGGAGAGCGAGACCAGTAAGCAGTGCTCCGTAGAGTAACCATTTTGAGCACGTCATGGTGAATGAAACCGAGTACGCTGTGATATTCTGGAACTTGTATGGCGCCTTTCAGTAAGTGCAGCAGCAGCTTCAGTTTTGTAAGTGTTTGACTGGGCGGAAGCGGGCTCCGATTGTGGGGTAGTTACTCCGATCGGAGGAGCTCAGCAAAAGACAGGAAAATCTCCCGTGTTCTCTTTACCCTGAATCACATGATACCGTCATCCCGAGGGGAAATATAACAGCTCCTGAGAAGCAACGACTAAGTGCAATCAGATACAGACAAACCTCATTCTGGGGATTGCTACTATGACAATTTGGCAAGTATCTTAGGGATGAGTTTGGCAAAGTTAAAATACACACACGTCATCGTTTCTGTGCTATCCGGGTCTGTTTATAAAGTGGCATTACACCGTGCAATCACAGAGCTTGAAAGCTGTAAGTCAAGATCGTCGGAAAGTCCTTGGCGGCGGAGGTTTGTCTTACTTCGGAGGATCTATGTCTCTACGGAGGATCTCCATGACGCTAACCTTCATATCTCCGTCAATGATCTCTAGTGCTTTTACCCCGCAGAATCAGCACTAGGTCAATGGTATTCAATAGCCCTCGAGAATAGTTTGGTCTGCTGCGGGGTGCTAGCTCAGTACTTAGCACCGAGCAACAGGTTAGGCCTCTTCGGAGTAAAAGTGGGAGACACAACCCCTCAGCACGAAGCCGAGGCTTCTTGTGAATCATCAAAGTGTCGGAGCAACTAGAGTACTGCACAGAAACTCATGAGCTTCAGTCGCGCAGGTATCTAGATATATACTAGCTTAACTTGCGTTTTCTATTTAAAAGGATGTGGCTGTAGCTCTCTTGTGTTAAATCAAGTTTAGATATTATCTCGGACTCCAATCCACATGAAGTTATTCCTTGCCCAATACAGCCTGAAAGCCACTCGCTTTGTTCTTTCGGCGGTGTTGAACGTCTCTAAGCAAGCGAGTGGTGTCTTTGGATTCCTGTTGCGCCAGTGCCCTGATCCTGGAACCACGTCACCTATGTTGTTTCACTATCTGCCAGACGCTGCTCTGACTTCCTTGTGCCGGGCACTGGCACTCAGCTCGGCATTCACCACCGCACTCGCCTCTTCCCGGATTGATACCCATCTTCATGTATTGCCTCCTGCCTTTGCCGCCGCGATCGATGCCGCTGGCGGCGATCCCACAGGATACACAACTCCCCATTGGACTCTTGAGGGCATGATGGCATCCATGGATCGGACAAGCACGGACATTGGTACGTTAGTTATTGGCAACGATTATACATTGTAAGAAAACAGACTCTAACTAAGCGTCCCGCTTACAGGCATCATGTCAGTCTCGGCACCCGGAGTCCAGATTGCCGGCACTGGTCAAGCTGCCCGTGATCTTGCAAGGACATGCAATAAGTACCTGGCCACGACCGCAACCAAGTCTGCATATGGCAAACGACTGGGGTTCTTCGGTGCGTTGCCGGATTGGCGCGATGTAAATGGTACATTGGCTGAGATAGACTTTCTGTACTTGACGCAAAAGTTGTGTAACGGTGTCACGGTGTTTACTACCTATGGAGATATGCTTCTCGGCAACCCACTCTTCCTCCCAATTTGGCAAAAGCTTCAGGATTATAAAGCGCTCATATTCATTCATCCGGATAGCTTATCGGTAGGCCCCAAGTTCATCGCTGGCGGCCTGCCCCAGCCGATTGTCGACTTCCCGCTCGCCACTACTCGGACGGCGGTAGACTTGATCATGACCAAGACGCTGCGCAGGTTTCCGGATATTGACATAATTCTATCCCACGCAGGCGGCACACTCCCTTTTATTGCTAGCAGAGCTCTAGGTAGTCTTGCCGTACCAGACATCAGCCAGATTATCGGGTACAGCATGGCTGATGCTAAGGCAGACCTTGGTCGTTTTTACTTCGACATTGCCTTGAGCACTAGTGCTGCCCAAATGCATGGACTTCTGGACACGGTAGATGCAGACCACATCCTATTCGGGTCTGACTATCCGTACGCTCCAGCCGTCGCCATTGACGCTTTGCTGCTGCAATATGCACAATTCGTGGCCACGGATAAAAGAGGAGCTCTAATTCGTCCCGAAAAGCTGCGCGCGAATTCCTTATCTCTTCTTAACAAGCATACTTTGACGGGGGCATTTAACTAATTCTATAAAGCCTCTTGGGGTTAGATTTTACAACATCCATGCACAACACTGTCACCAAAACGCGTCCACACGACTACAAGGCAGTCAGAAACAATAACTTGAATTTAATCCTAAGAATAGCTAGGCTATAATATAACAGAAAATAGAGGAAGATTAAAATTAAATTTAAAAACTATTATCTAGGACTTATGTAATTGGAAGAATTTCTTTCCATAGTCTAGTCAATAGCCTTAATATTGCTTTATCCCATATTTACTATTTGCACTCTGGATGTAGATGGCGAAGAAAAGTAATTGACAAGCTAAGACAAATTAGGAAGCATTCTGCGGGACGGGACCACCACTGCGAAAGATGATCGGCGCACGCGTAGCCGAGTAGATGTCTGACTGAGGGGCCCAGTCCAGTAACAACTCTTCATCCCATCGCCATACCAGTTTTTCTACCAGAAGATTGAGCCATGGTCGGAGTTCCAGGCCGTTCAAAAGCTTGCCATACCTGCAAGAGTCGTAAGCTTGGAGTAAGTTCTTACCTCTGTCAGTCAAGTATCTGTCTGCTGATTTGCTCCAAGTGTGATCAACTTCGTCCGTGGTGTCGCCGATGCACCCGGGCTGGTCTAAGCTGTGGAGGGTATGATAGGCCTCCCATCTTTGTCAACAGCACCCAGGACGGGAACAGCGCTCTGTCGTCTAGATCGTATTCGCCACGTCACGACTCAGACCAGACTGCGGTATCCACGCCTTTGCTTGACCTATCGCTTGAACGCACAGCAGCAGAGTCAAAGTATCTGTTCCTCTACTGGCACTTCCTACTCCCCAATAATGGACAGTCGTTCACCCTGCAGGCCACTAGGCATTCGACTACAGGGTGGATACAGATCGTGCAAGACTTGACCCAAAACGATGCGGGCGTTCGTACTGGGCTTCTTGCCAATGCATTGGCATTGGTTGGGCAGACAACGGAACAGTTGTCCGTCGTTATGGAGGCATGCAATATGTACACCAAAACGCTGCAGACCCTCGCTCGATCATTACGCCATATTAAACTAGAAGAGACGACAGAGGATCCTAGGCTGATGACATCGGCGCTTCTGGCGGCATTTGAGGTACTGTTAATTTGTGTGCTGTTGTCTTCCTATGATGGCTGACACATGTAGCTACTTCAAGTGTCTGACGGCCGTCAGTCTTGGCTCCATGGAATGACCTGGCTTCGTCACTCGGCAGGGCAAAAAGCCATTATCCTTGCCAGAGGCCCAGAGAGCTACAAAGAAGGCTTAGCTCACCAACTGTTTGCAGACGGTCGCCTACATCTGGTATGAAATATCCTGTTCTTTTTTCAACCCCAAACACTCAGCTTCGTCCCTAGATATACCCAGACATTCACGAACGTAAACGATCGGTATTTAATACCCCGAAGTGGAAGTCCATACCATGGTCCACGCTTCCAAAGAATCCGAAGGATGAGTTGGTGGACATACTTCTGGAGATTCCAGGTCTGCTGGAAGATCTTGAGCGTAAGCCTGCACATGAGACGCAGCAAGGGTCATTGTATGCGCAGCTGCTGCAAAGATGCCGTATTTGCGATGAAAGTCTACGCAACTGGTCCACTTCTTCCGGCCAAGCTAGTGTCAGCTTCGCCGAAGGGTTAATATCCACCCCCATAACCCAGGTCTCCTCTCTGTCCCCAGAAGACTTTGCCATGGCTCATTTGGGTATGATCTACTGGGCGACTTGCAGTCTTCTGTACCAACTTATGGCTGACGACACTAATGCTGGGCTGTACTGCCGTAAAATCTTGCTCATGGTCCCCTTCTTCCAGAGGCCCGATATGGGTGCCATCTTCATCAACTTTGTGGGGTTCCCAGTTAGCGTTGTCGTAAGCTTTATCGCACGACACGAAAATCATGCTGCTTTTGAGGCGCTGGAAGAATTACTCTACAAGATATTTATGGACCCAAATCGCGGCAGCCAGCTACGGGCATTTTTTGAGACGTGGCCATGGCAGAGCACTAATGAGACACGAGTGGTCATGAATAAAGCGAAAGCAAGGACTAAATAACTTATGTACGCGCGATCCTATAATCTTCAGGCTTCGTGCGCATCTTCATGTCTTGTCTACTCTACATCCACACTTGCAATTGCCACGCCATTGCTGCTTTGTCCAAGATCTGTGGCAGATCTGCCCTTTCGAGCGACTTCTATCTCTTCAGGCGTTGGTAGATTAACAATCATCAAATAGAGAATGTTCTAGATCTGTGTCAGCTAAATCTCTGTCCAAAACTTCGCATCGGGCGACATACGCGACTAATGCGACGCTGTCCGTTATCTAACAGCTCAGACTGGTGCTGAAACTGTTGCAGTTGTAGTTCGTATGCGTTTTCATATTGCTGGATGTAGGCTTGCTTTTCTTTAGCAGTGAGATCCATGCCTTGTAGTACAGAGATGAGGTTTTCCATCTGAGAAGATTGTTGATCTCGGATAAGCTGCTCTTGGTTGGCCATGGCAGAGCGCATACTTTCTTTTTGCTTTTCGACATCTGGTGTCAGCTTACCCCCAGATAAGAGGCCAAGTAAGCCACCGTTAGAGGCAGGATGGTTTGGGTCCAGATAGCGGTTTGAGAAGGGCTTTTGTGGAACCGAGGAGAGTACATCTCCATTACTTTCAGATGCCTGCGTAAGTCTTGGAGTCAGCTAATGAGACTCAAGGCCTACGTGGAAGGGATGTGCTACTCACGTAGCGTGCCTGAGCGCGTTGATCAAAGTACTCGTTCAGCTTGGAAAACACCGTTTTCTTCTTGTCAGTGCTCGGAGTGGTTCTTTCGATAGTTGGATAGATTAGAGTCGCAACGGAGTCGGGTAGATCCTCTTGGCCATGGGAGACGCCAGCCAAAGGATTCCTCAGGTTTCTTTTGGCTTTGGATGAGGTTACGGCCGTCGACTCACGTGTCAACATAGCTTGCGCTGGATCGACCCTTTCTTTATTGATGGTGGAGATCGGACTGTAGGACATGAGGAGGCAATACAGTCCCCGGGGCTGGAAGAAATTGACGTTCGCTCGATCCATAAAAGAGTTCGTTCTATTTAGAGATCAGTCACAAGAACGAGAAAGCAAACAGCAGACTTACTTCCATCGAGTCTCCGTCTTGGCGACAATCCCAGCGACGATCTGCACGGCAGCGGAAACGCCCAGGGCGATGTGATTGGGAATGAACCCGGTGCCCATGGCAGCCACCTGAATAGCATAGAGCCATTTGGACGCTTGTACGGCTTTGTTGATAGCCCGTATGAAGGCGATGAATGTTTCTTGATCGATACCAAATGCCTCAAGATCGGGTGCGTATGCCTCTACGAAACCACGTTCTTTGTTTCCGGGGCGTTTCTGGGGGATGACAACTGGACTACTTAACCGAAGTGGTGATAGGTTGACACCCAACCCCGGATGGTTCATCAAGAAGCTGTCCAAAGTCAAGCCTGAACTTTGCTCCATCTCTTCAGAACGGCCGTTGTAGGACAAGGGATTGTTATTCGAAGTCATAAGGTTTCGCGATATAGTTATTGGAATGCAGGCTGTATTTTTTGGCATTAACATGAGGGAGGGATCCTTTTAAATACTTTTTTCAAGCCAGTCCGGTGCCCGTTGGCGTTGAACCGTGTTGTTGGGAAGGATTTAACAGTACGTAGTGGCGGGTCCGTTTTACGCAATTGAAGGCCTATGCCTACGGCTGGGGGTACAGACAGCGTTCTGACATGCTGTGCTCAGGCAGTGCATACCTAAAAAACGGTTAATGTAATAATTTTCTAGCTTCAATCTGACTACAAATATAAAATTACTTTCTATATATATTATTCTATATCCAATCAAGTACATAAGTAATTAGGCATTAAGATAGGCATCGATAGGAATTGCAAACCCGAGCTATAAGTCTTAACTGTAAGTTGTATGTTGATATTATCTATAAAATAACTACTTTAGTTCAAATTGCTTTTTGCCCTCTGCACTCAAACCCAAATCCACAACTTCCTTCTCCTCGCTCACGACCGTTCTCAAGTCTCCAAAGGGAAGGATGACAACCAGTGACTTCCAGGGAGCTTGGAAGCCAGAGCTTTCATCCTTAGAGAACTTGACCTTAATTACCGACTCGGTAGCCGAGTAAGCAATGGTATAAGAAGAGATCTTGTTCTTGGTTGACACAGAGGTACCATCGTCTTCATACCACGTCGTCTCGTGCCACTTGCCATCGCGAGATGCCTTCTGAGGAGGGAAAATCTCCACGCCACGGTAGTCATCGAGAGGGAGACTTGCCACGTTCTCCTTCTCACCGGGAGAGAGAACCTGGACATCTCGACCAACAGCAACAGCACGGCCAACCTTGCCGAGAACGGGAATGCCAGCACCATGCCACTCAACATCGAGATCAACCCATTGGCCAGCCTCAAGATACTGGTATGGTGCATTCAGGTTCAGGTATCCCTCATCATCGTCTGAAGCCTTGGGAAGGTAGAACTTGACCTTGCTTGCTCCAGCCTCGAACACGCCACCAACGAGCATGGAGTCACCGAGCCAGTACTGTTTCTCTCCATCAAGCAGCTTCCAGACCTCAGGGTCGGACTCGTAGCCCCAACCGATCCATCTCTGAGGAGGAGAAGCAGTCTGGTGACTCTCCAGAGACAGAGAGTAAATGTAAGGAATTAATGCATAGCGACGCTTGATCGTCTTGCGGACAAGATGTGTGATCGATGGGTGCATCCAAGGCTCAATGACATCGCCGATCGAGTTGTCTTCGCCTGTCTTGAAGCAGTTGATGGCGAATCGAGGAGAGTAGATACCGAGTTGGACCCATCGGAGAAGAAGCTCAGGGTCAGGCTGAGGACCCTCGAAGCCACCAATATCATGTCCGTAGCATTGCATGAGGGAGAGGCCAGCGTTGAGACCGAGAGCAGTTGAGCCTCGCATACTATCCCAGCTGGTAGTGTTATCACCGCTCCAAGAGCTGCAGGCGTAACGCATAGTACCGGCTGAAGCACTGCGAGTGAGAACGAAAGGGCGCGAGTCAGGGTTGACAGCGAGAAGAGCATCATGAGATGCCTTACCGTTCAGCTCGGTATGTAGACTGCGACCCCAAAGACCGACCTGAGGTCGCTTCTCAAGCCCTTCGGGAACCTCGAGCACATCCTTGCTAACGTTGAGAGCGCACTCCCATTCGTCATCGGGGATCGTGTACTCGTTGTTGTCGTTCCACATGCAGTCGATACCCTCTTCTGCGAGCTTCTTGATTCCATTGTACCACCAGTTGTAGCCGGCCTCAGAAGTAAAGTCGATATGGCCACCGTTGGCTCTCTCACCTCCTCCAGCGCTCCAAAGCTTCGTAACAGCGGGTTCCTTCGTGTGAGGATCAAGGAAAAGACCGCCAGCATCCTTTAGCTTTTGGTACTCGGGATGACTAGAAACGAGATATGGCTTGACGTTGGCGATACAACGCATGCCTAGCTTGTGGAACTCCTTGATCCAATCCTCAGGATCGGGAAAGCGGTGGCGATTCCAGGTGAAAACGTGTCGGTTCTTGGGATGTTGCTCAGCCACGGTGTATCCAGATGACATCTGGTAGGCCGAGCAAGGAATGTCGTGCTCCTTCATCTTGTGTGCCAACTCGATCAAGGTCACACCAGCAGGGGGGTCGTCGAGCATAGAATACTTCATGCCTCCAGAGAGGTAACCAAAGGCCCAGCGAGGGACAAGGAGAGGATAACCGGCGAGGTCAGCGTAGGTCTGAACAACTTCTTTGAGGGTCTTTCCGGTGATGATGTACTCTTCCAGACCTCCAAAGTCCTGACGATAGACCTTGTAGAATCCCCACATACCATCCATCTCAGAGCCGATGGAGTATTCTCCTCGAGTATGGCTGGTGGAGAACATAGCTACGCAGCCTTGGGGTGTAGCATTGATTAGGAGGGGGATGTTCTTGTAGAGAGGGTCAGTTCGATGCGCATCGTATCCAAAGCTGTCGGTTGCCGATATTTGGAAGCGGCGACCAGAAAGATCCATAGGTGCAGCCTTTTCTCCAAGACCAACATGGAACGTCTTGCGGTTGTACTGAGTGTAATGAGCGACACCGTCGCCATTGGCGGCATAAGATCTGTTGTCAAGATCTTGGAGGATTGGTGGCTGACCATCAAAGCCTACAGAGAGAAGAGGGGTCTCTCCAGCGTAGTCGACATTGGCGATCACATCGCCAATCTGAATCTTGGTACCCTTGTCACTGGATGTGACTTTTGGCTGAGCACCATCGAGCTTCGTCTCAGCACGAGGGACACTGGGACGAGGCGGTAGAGGATGGGTAGCGGATGTGAATGTGGTTCTGAAGACGTTGGGACGAACGGCTTCAAAGTTGAACTCAAAGGGTAGAGTGGCATCGTTGCAACGCAAGTGGACAGACGGCTTGGTGCTGTCTTTGCCAACCGCATCAACAGTCCACGAAGAAGGAATGCGTTCACGTTGAGGCATGGTGAAAGAATAATCGAGCTTTTATTTGCAACCTCAATGGTTAACGATTGAAAGAGGAAAATACAGGAGGAAATGATCCTCTTTTAACTTGATGCAAGATGCATTTATTGCCGGGTTCGGGATGCAAGTATCGCCTCATTTACAGCCAATATCTACCGAAAGGAAGCCAAGATCGGGTCTGCCTCGTTTTGTCCGACGCCATCGTCGGAGAATTCTGTCCAAGTCCGGTTCTGCGCTGCCGCGTGACCTGTTTAGTACTAAACCCCTCACAGTCAAGTCGGAGAAAACACCAAAAAGTCCGGTTTCGTTGCCGAGAATCCCCACGGGGTAAAAAGTCCACTCCGACAGCCAGCAACGGCATTATTTATGATGATCAATGATGATCATGAGCTCGCTTGACCTCAGAATTATTCGGAGCCTGTTTTTCCAAGCTGGTAAATTTTGGTCGTTTTTATTTAGACGTGAAACAACTCATATCAAGATCATCATCATTATTTAGAGGACAAGAGATAAAGGTCCACATACGTATCTTTTAGGCCTATCAGCGGCTGAGAAATAATGTTCCTGCCTGAGGCGTCGAAACAAGACTTCCCCTTCTAAACTTCCCCGCGCAAACATGATTCGCCAGGGAGAGAGTGAACATCATGAGAAGCGCGTCTCGGTATTCAATACCAGTCTAGGCTCACATATTAAGATGAATCGAGATCAACATGTCACAGATTCATCAACCTTCGGAAGAGGCAACTTCACAAATGGCTCTATCCTCACGTATCCGTAAGAAAAGATTACCGGTATAGCCGCCTTGCTTTTGAGATCAGCGAACCTCAACATCGAGTTATTACATGGACATATAAAGAAGCTGACATATGTTTAAAGAAAGCTTGCATAACTTGTCGCCAGAGTAAAGTCAGTAGGCATCTGAGTACCTCTCCATACCCAATGAGCTTACCTCTTGATTAGGTGAAGTGCAATGGCTCACGGCCATGTTCTCGGTGTGTATTATATTGAGGGCTGTGGATACACAGTGCTGATAGGAAACACAGGTGTTGTCAACTTCAAAAGACATGCCAATTTGTCGAGAGACCAAAAGAGGACCATGAACTGTTTGGCTTCCTTGTCACTGATTACATCAGCATTTCTAATTTTGTATTCATAGCAAGATCGAAGCACTCGAGAGAGAGATTGAGGTTCTCAAGTCAAGACTGCAGTCAGCCACGGCGCCTATGATGGAATGCTCACCTACTGCCTACCCAACAGGGGGCCAGTCGCCATTCATGACAGCGAATCGTACCGACGTTCCGGCTCAGAGTGTATACACATCTGCACCAACGAGAGTCCCTTCGCAACCCGTGGCATCGACCTGCACAAGCTCTCCAGACACTGCTACATTCCTCACCAGATCACAAGGAAGATCGCGGTCTGCCTTCGAGACTGATACAATAGCCCCGACAACAGCTGAGCTTGGGATTGAAATGAAGGATGACGAGGCGCGGCTGTACTTCAACGCCTTCTTCTCTGGTTGTGACCGCTACGTTCCTGTCTTTGACCAGCGCTTTGACACAATTGAAGCTATCCGCAACAACAGTGCTCTACTGTTTATCACAATATGCTCAGTTGGGTGTCGTGTACTCAACGGCACATGTTCGAGATGGCGAGCTCTTACGCTCCAGACTCAACGCTTGCTCAATGCCGCTATCGTCAATCCGTTGATGGGAAGTCTTGAGACGGTACAGGCAATCCTCGTTCAAGCTTGCTATGCGGGTGAAAGGGCACTTCTGATTGCAATTGCCACGCGCATGGCCTTGGATCTTGGATTCCCTGAAGCCTATGATACACTCATCACGGAATCCGTCTTGGGAGAAACGCAGATGGACGACAGTGAACAAACTACCTACAACAACAACACGACGCGCATGCGTAAAACTAGAGTATGGCTGCACTTGTTGGTGATGAGCTACATTCTACACGTAGATGCCGGTGGAATG